TTAATTTCTTCATGCTCGTGCCAAGTTTGAAGTATCATTTGTACAAATAAGAATCCCCTTGGTTACATGATTTCAATGTGACTTCCCATTCACATTGCCAAAATTGGTTAAATCCGAGGCTCATAGCGCAGATAGAGCCCCATACACTGCTAATTCAGAGCAAGAAGAAGAAGGGGCTGACTCGAATCAGTACCATATATGCAATTTAATCATCGCTCTAGTCACCTTGTCATTATTCGCTACTTATATTGGTCCAGAAGGCAACATTTCAACTGGTATTTTCAAAAGGTAACATTTGAACTGGTAATTTCAAAAGTTTCACTTATTTCTAGATACAAGAAAAGGCACACGAACATTTCGGCTCACGTTTTCACCTTGCTTCTATGTGAAAAAGGAAAATTATGTTAGTATTAGTCGAAGACAGATTGAATTGATTCCGCAAAAATAGTTGATGACGAGTTGAACTGATTTTGCAAAAATGGTCGATGACAGGTGAACTAATTATGCAAAAATGGTCGAGGACGAGTTGAACTGATTCTGCAAAAGTGGTTGAGGACGAATTGAACTAATTCTGCAAAAATGGTCGAGGACTAGTTGAACTTTGAATTGATTCTACAAAAATGGTTGACGACGAGTTGAACTGATTATGCAAAAATAGTCGAAAATTGGTTGAACTAATTCTGCAAAAATAGTCGATGACGGACTGAACTGATTCTGAAAAAATGGTCGGACGGGTTGAATTGCTTCTGCGAAAATGGTTAAAGACTAGTTGAACTGATTCTGCAAATGGTCGAGGACGGGTTGAACTAATTCTACAAAAATGGTTAAGGACGGGTTGAACTAATTTGGCAAAAATGGTTCATAAGGGTTGAATTGATTCTAAAGAAAAAAAAATGATCGAGGACGAATTGAATTGATTCTGCAAAAATTAAGAAGGGTTGAATTGATTCTGCAAAAATAGTCGAAGATGGGTTGAGCTTTTAGCACATATTAATTTTATTAGAGTTGTGAGGGCTAAGTTTTATTAACAGCCTAAAACCTTAGGGGTACGGCTGGTATTTTAAAACATTGTTTCCATGTTTTTGGGTTAGGCTTTAGTTGTTTTTATATTTTTGTCTCTCTTTGACATGTTTAAAAACTAGTGTAGTTCCTTGAAATATAATAAAAAAATTTGTCTCTATATATAAAGCTCCCTAATATGTAATAGGTAATTAATTAAAATCTTTTTTTATATCATATTTCATTAACCTTTAATTCTCATTCCATTATTATTTGATTGATATTTTTTTGGTTGGTGTGGAATGCTTTTAGGCTATAATCTTGCACAAAACGGATTTATGGTCACAATATGTTTTATAGCTTGATATTGTATTGTTGTTGAAAAATGATAAAGAGATTCTATTAAAGTTGGACTTCTTCAAGAACTCTCTGCCACTCCATGTTTTTGGCATAATTCTCGTGTGTGCCAACATTATAAAACATTGTGCCAAAAAAAATGAGGTGGGAGATAGTCCATAAAGAGTCTCACTTTTAAGTAGGGCTAGTTTGGTATGGGATACCGAACCGAAAATGGCATACCAAATTCTGAACTGAAAATTTTCGAGAATCCAACGATCGATCCCTAACCGAATTTCAGGATTCCCGAAATGTTTTATGTATTTCATGTTGGAAATATGCCCTGAAAAGTCAATCTTTGGAAGAAACCTTTCAGGACAATGAATGGATGTATAGATGACTCTATACATCAAATGGCAAAGATACTAATTAGGACTATCTCTATAAACGATATATGTCCTAAATAGTGAATCCATGGACAATGGATCGATTGAAAAAATAATCTAATGAAGTTAGACTACAGAGACCTTCTTCACATAACCATCATGTCCAAAAGGTTCCTGGTCATAGGATTGTCGAAGGGATACTGACAATGCATAGACCGGTACATACTATGTCTGCTTCAATCAGAAGGATGAGAAGTCTCATCCCATTCGTGTAGTGACACTAAGACAAGTATGTAGGTGCTCATTAAGGGAATGAGTTCACTGAACACAATCGAACGAGAGTACTTGCATGGAGGTCTACTCACATGTCAAGCAAGTAACTCTAATGGTTGGAATAATGTAAGTAGTCCTTTGACCTGAAGCATCATCGTTGTCTTGTGGTTAAGTACTTGATCTTTGATTATGTCAAAGTCACTCAATCTGTGGGTGTCCACGGCATAGTCGGGGTTAAGCCACTTGGTCATGAAGGCAAGTGAATGCGCAACAAGGAATCTCTAATCCTCGTTAAGAGAGGATGAATACTCTAAGATATGATTTGGGAATCTTTGGCCGAAGTATCGAACGTAATAAAGGAAAGCGTTTCTATACGACTCAATAGAATCATATAAGAAGGAATAATCACATTAGGGGTTTGACATAATAAATCCATACCCTAGTAATGTGATTGAGAGTATTGTTTTAGAGAAGGATCGAATTACATTGTAATTCCAACTGAATAGGTTCTCCGAACAACTTCTACATTAGCTTGGATAGCCATGATATATGGTTAGATGTCACTCATGGCTTGTGAGTTCTTCTAGATGATTAAATGTAGTCGTCAAAGAAGAATGTGAATTAAAAGTAAGTTTTAATTCACTAAGTGATTGGATTAAATATAATCAATTGGATTGGTGCCAATCACCTCACTGCCTTGCTAATTAGAACCTAAAACGATTGTTCACCAATACACTATTGTAGTGAGTAATTAATGGATGATGGAAATAATTAATTGGATTAATTAAGTGTTGTGATTAATTAGAAAGTCTAAAGAAATCATAAAAAACGATATAAGATCGTTTTGGGCTTAAAGAAACTTTCGGGTTTAATTGGGCCCATTGGGGCTAAACCCATTGGGCTTTTATTCAAGCATAAGATGACTTGAAATGATAAAAGCCCAAAAGCCTAAACAACACTAAGGAGGCCAGCCACATAAAGGGAAAGGGAGAGAGAGGAAGTCAAGTGGTTGACTAGGTTTCTTTGTTCTATAAAAGGAACTTTATAGAGATATTTTTCATTAGGGTTTTTGGGTGTTCAAAACAACAAAAGAGAAAAAGAAAATAACTCTCTCTTCAACACTAAAGGTCAGCCACCATAAGGAGATTTTAGCTAATCATCTTTTTCTCCCTTTGGTTATTCCTTCATCCTTCTCACTACATTAGTGGGTGAGGATCTTTAGAGGTCTTCAACTTTGGAGACTTGAAGAGAACCTAGGAGCACTCATTTGTAAACAAAGTGGAGGAGGCAAGGAAAGAGGCTAGGCTCAAGGAGTTTAAGGAGCAAAGGGCTTGGAGGTGTCCATCATTGGTCTAAGATCTAGATCAAGAGGTATAAAACTACTCCTAAACTTTGTTCTTCACTAATTTGTTTTTGATGCATCGTACATAAACCTATGAATCTTGAAAGGGATTTATGTGACTATTGCTTTGATATTATATGATAACATGCTTCCGTTGCTTTCGTATATAAACCTTGAATTGTATATGCATGCTAGTCACTAGAAATCCCATATGAATCTCATAGATTTCCCTTCATTTCAGGATTTCCCGAAAGTGAATCTGCATCAAAATCCAAATCATCTAGATTGAAATTTAAATCATCTGAACCTACATTAAAAACCCAAATTGAAATCATAGAGATGGACAGTGAATCGGTGGTCGAGAGAGAGACCAAGTGAATAGATAGTCAGACGGACTCGTGTCCTCCTCCTAACCCGAGCCCCCAATTCGAAACCCTAAGCCCCAATTTGAAACCTTAAGCCCTAATTCGAAACCTTAACCTTAATTCGAAACCCCACACACACAGAGACTAGAAAGAATCAGTGATGAGGGATGAAGCCATGAGGTGTGGTGGTGGTCGGAGTGGAGAGAGTTCGTCAAAGTCAGATTGTGAGAGGGTAGGTGGCTGCTGAGCTTCGAATTCGAGAAGGATAATCAAAGAGACAGAGAGAGTCTAAGATTGAGTGAACTTAAGGCTTGAAGGTCTGAGTCTTTCAAACGAAGACAAACTCTTAGTGAGGATCGACGATGCTATCACCTGAGCTGCTGTCATTCCTGCAAAGTGTTTTTCAGTGAGGGATGAGGAGTTGAGAAAGAGATCAAGGAGGTCAGTCGAGAGAGAAAGGTGAGTCACTTGTGTGATGTGGCTGGATTTGAATATGGCAAATAAGGAGGAAGAGAGAGATCGAGAAAAATCGGCAATGAGAGAGCAGGGTGAGGTGAGGTCGAGAGAGAGTGATTGAGTGAGGGTTTTATTTGGATTCAATGGTTGAGATTAATCTCAACTAGATCTGATGGCTGTTACAATTCCAAAAATATATTTAAAATTAAATAATATATATATATATATATATATTTGGTTCGGTTCGAGATTACCCAACTAATGAAAATGTGAGATCAATTCCCATACCAAAATTTCGGGATTGGGTACCAAAATTTTCGGGATTTTTCGGTTCGATTTGGAATTTTCGATATTTTTTTCCACCTCTACTTTTAAGAGAGTCTCATTAGCAGTTATCTTGTACTGTTATCATGAAACTTAAATGACAGTAAATTTCTTTTATACAAGTTGCTCTCTAATACTAGACGAAAACTCCAAGCCTACCATTGATACACGAAAAAGAACTCAATGTGTGACCAACTGACTGTAACATCGTGACCACCACAAGCCCAACATATATTTTATACAAGTTGCTCTCTAATAGGAAGACGAAAACTCCAAACCTACCATTGATACACGAAAAAGAACTCAACGTGCGGCCAACAGACTGTAGTATCGTGACCACCACAAGACCAACATATATCAGTCCACAATCCCAAAGTTGAACCCATAATTGCATAGATCACAGTCAATCAGATCCAACCTTAAGCCGATTAATACATTGGAAAGACCTCGAGGTGATAACTGACACGTGTCCGCTTTCACGATCCGAAAAACCCTCGCTACACTCCATAAATCTTGTCCTCCCTTCTCTTTCACACTCTCTCTCTCCTCAATCCTTTCGCTCAATCCACTTCGCTTTCTGTGTTTACTCATCACTCTCTCTCTAGATATTTGCAGCTGGGATTCCATCAATCTCCACCGTCGATTTTGCAGAGATGGAGTTCTGAAGACGATGATGATGAGCCCTCATGATCTTCTTCCTCTGCTGGTAAGAACCATCAATACTGATTGGGGTTTTCACATGAAGAAATGTTCGACCCATTTATGGCGATCCACATGCGTTCCCTAATCTGGTTGCGCAAGAGGAAAAAGAACCCTAAAAATCCTACAAAACCCACATCCCAATTAATCTCCTAGCTCTCAAATCACACCTTAAAAGTTCTTATTTTTCTTAGTAACAGTTCATTTCTTAGTAATCGTTCGTTTTGTAAAGTTCCCAGATTGTATTTTTACTTCATTTCAAAATCTAAATTACTCTTTTTGCTCTGCTGATTATTATCGGGTTTGAGTGTTTGCTGAGCTCGGCTTAGTGAAGTAGCTAGTAGTGCTCGAAATTTTGTTGAAATCTTTAGGTGGTTGGGAGGATTTGGGAAATATTTAGGTGGGGAAGAGTGGTTTGTATTCTGGATCTTGAATCGGGTTTTAAAGGTGGCGAAGATGAGCTTGAGCGCGGCCGAGGACGATTCGGCTTCGGAAATTCACATCCCGGCTGATATAGATTGGCATATGCTTGACAAGTCCAAGTTTTTCTTTCTGGGTGCTGCTTTGTTTTCTGGTGTTTCAGGTGCTTTGTATCCAATTATAGTGTTAAAAACCCGCCAACAAGTTTCACCCACTCAGATTTCTTGCTTGAAGATGTCTTGTGCAATCATGCGCCACGAAGGTCCTAAAGGGTTTTACAGAGGTTTTGGGACCTCTCTGACGGGAACAATTCCGGCTCGAGCGCTTTACATGGCGGCGCTTGAAGTCACCAAGAGCAATGTTGGAACTGTGACGGTTAGATTAGGATTTTCGGATACTACAGCAATGGCAATAGCGAATGCTGCTGCAGGGTTGAGCTCAGCCATGGCGGCCCAATTAGTTTGGACCCCGGTGGATGTTGTGAGCCAGAGACTCATGGTTCAGGGCTGCACCAGTAGTACCAAACACATCCTCCCCAATGTGAGTTCTTATAAGTATAGAAATGGCCTTGATGCTTTTACGAAAATTGTTCATGCCGATGGATTGAGAGGATTGTACAGGGGATTTGGGATTTCGTCACTGACTTATGCACCTTCAAATGCGGTTTGGTGGACTTCTTACTCTGTTGCACACAGACTCATTTGGAGTAGTTTTGGTGGCTATATGTGTAAGAAAGATGAGAGTGGCTCAGGCAATGGGTCTAATTTGCGCCCCGATTGCAAGGCAATGCTGGCAGTGCAGGCGTTGAGTGCAGGCATGGCAAGTGGGGTTTCTGCTCTGATTACCATGCCGCTGGATACTGTCAAGACGCGGTTGCAAGTTCTGGATGCGGAAGAAAACGGGCATAGAAGACCGCTGACAATAATGCAGACGGTGAGAAATCTGGTGAGGGAAGGAGGGTTTGCTGCTTGTTACAGAGGGCTAGGGCCTAGGTGGGCTTCAATGGCAATGTCTTCCACAACCATGGTTACTACCTATGAGTTTCTCAAAAGAATGTCTGCCAAGAATCAATAGAGCTGCGCAGAAAGAAGTGGTTTTTATTTCCATGCACATTTCAAATCCTTCTTGCCTGGATTTGGCTATAACGGCATGCCTATTGCCATATTGATCATGTAAATTTGTACATAGTCTAGTAGTTTTCTTTCATTTGATTTGCCCCTTTGTGCAAGAATTTCCGTTCCGTTTTGATGGAATGACATTAGTAGATTGGTAACACCGTGTGTCAGATCGTTTGCTCGAATTTAATGAAGATGATGAACAAGTGAACGGGAAAGAATTGGAGTTTTTATTTATGATTAAGCTAAGTTTTGGATTGTACGCTTGCAATTATCTATTGGGATCTCTTTGTCATGTTGCTCGAATGAATATGTTGATGTAAGAAACTTTTGAAACTACTTTTTTTTTTTTCCTATTTTTTATTATTAAGGAGAAGGATTCTAAGCTTTTACAATACTTCAGGCGAGGGAAGGAAGGCGTTTCAAACTCTAAATACATAGGTGGAAACCCAACCGCCTATTTATTAAGATATTAAACCTTATACTTGAAACCGCCTTAATATTGTGGGAAGCCCACTATCCAGAAATAACAAATGTTAGTCAGAAACCTAGTGCACAACTTGATGAGTGGAGTTGGGTGGGTGGTTTGGCTCTGGCCCCTCTTAAGTTAAAAGGCAAGTTTGTTTCATTTGGCCTCCTCGCTACATTCATGAATGTTCCCAATTATTAACCTTTAATAAACTATCTTGAAAGCCCTAGAATTGGCATGCATCTTTTTAAAGGCTACATTGAATACTTTAGCCGCTATTAGTTAGGAAATTTTCAGTATGTCACATTGTCAATTGGCTAAGCATACTTAATAAATAAATGAATTTTAGGCACGACGAAAATTTCATCACGTCACGTGATGAGTGGTTGGGATTCGATTTGATTGTCAAATTGCCAATTGGCAAAGCTTTCTTGATGCCACATGGATTTTTTGCTCAACAGACGCTCCGTTTACATTATGTGACAAGTGATTTGAATATAAGAGGATACGTATCCTTTGGTTTAATGTCTCGTCTAATTGGCCAAGCATGTTTAATGAATATGTGGACTTCATTTCAAACTCAACAAACGCTTTATCAAGTCGCGCAATGAATAATTTAGAGACACCATGATACATTGAATACAAGAAGATATAATCTCATCCCGTTTGTGGAATTTTTTTTCAGGTCGACGGGCTGAAGGCCTACTCTAACAACACCGATACTGTCCTCACTTAACCACATGCACAATCCTCAGGTGTGGGGTTTTATCACAAAATTCCTGCCAATGGGGACCCACCCAATCACGTGGCAGTATAGACTCGTCCCTTGACTTTGATACCATGTGGAATTTTTTTCAGGTCGACGAGCTGAGGGCCCACTCTAACAACACCGATACTGTCCCCACTTAACCACCTGCACAATCCTCAAGTGTGGGGTTTTATCACAAAATGCCTCGGTGTTGTTAGAGTAAGGTATTTCTATTTAAAATGCTTTCTTTCTTCCCTCCTGGCCGATGTGAGACACTGGGGTTCCAACACCGTTGACATAACATATTCTCTCCTAACAATGAACAATGTGCATCTGAACTAGACGTGATGTCAAATTTTCACCAGTAAATTGAACAACTATACATGTTGAAGTTGAACAAAAGAAGAGGAGGAGGTGGCAGTTGGCATGGTCGGCGGGCTGTTGAAGAATCTGATCAAACACTTGAGAGGTGAAACGTCCATCAAACACACCATATGCGTGCGGAAGGACCTTTTTATATTTCAATGGGACCCAGACTCCAATACCAGGGGCTAATCCGGTGCGATGCAAATAACTGTGGACCATCAGACCTTGGACATTTTCTTCAATCTCTATGGACCATCAATCCAAAGACGCCACTGAAAACATTGGGTCTCACGTGCTTTGTCCTCAGTTTCTCTTTCTTTTTCCCCTCCATCACGAGATATTTTTCAGCGTGATCGGCACACGAATTGGTAAATCACGTGTCATTATAAAAATTGTGGAATTTGTGTGTCAAAAAGTTAATAACTTAAAAAATAAAATTTTTCACCATTTACATAAAAACACGGGATGTACCACTCGTGTTCCCGTTACACTTAAAAATTTATCCTCTCTCACAGCTTATTGCCTTATCCTCAATGTGACATTGTCTGAACCTCCCTAAAATGTCCGTTGAAATGACTTGTATAGCACAGGTATAACGATATTGTGGCTCTTTGAGTTGGTTGCCACGGTTCAATGAAAATGATAAAAAATTGCTAAAAGGGTCAAAACATAAAAGGAATCTTTAGAAATATCATAAGGCATTTTGTGCATATTTATCTTATATGATGAAAATATTGACGAAATCTGTTGAATTTAGCCGAAATCTAAGAGTTTATCCGATATGACTTCACCCAGTTTTCATATTTTTCTTGATTTTTCCGATATCAACAGTATCCAAAAAATTTCAAACACTACTAATATTACATTATTGGCTCGACATACTACAATTAGAGTGTACACGTTTCATATGAATAGCTCGCGTTTTATGTCATATAAATACATGACACACGAACACAGTCTGAACCGTTAACGAACATTGTTACACCATTTTGAAATCAAACACCAAAGACATGGAGGCCATCAACAAAAAAAAGACCAAGTATTTAGCACACACGCTTTACTGTGTTTGAAACCAAACACTATTTTGGGCTTGGGCAGGGCCAATTCATTAGCTATACCGAGACTGGACCTTAGGGCCCGATTCAAAAAAGGGCTTCTAATAGAAGTGCTTTGATTGATCCTCACAAATTTTCACCCGAAAATCCTAGAGGGGGATCATATTCCATTTCAAAGCACAAGGGGAATGAAGCAAAAATATACCTTCAAAATTTTCAGGATGAAATTTTTACACCCCTCACCGAAACGTTTGACACCTCCCGAGATCGAAGTTCAAAGACAAACAAGACAGAAGATGCTATAAGGTTGATGAAAATCCAATTGTGAAATAGAGACTATAATTTTATAAACACTGAGCTACATTCACGCAGATAAATGACAAGTTCCACACTCACAGGGGGGAAATCGTTTCCGACCTGAACATAAATACCCTAATTTAATTGAAATAGACAGCAGACTTGCAAACTACGCAACAAGTCAAGATCCAAGATAAAATTTCCTAAAGTTACAAGCTTTGAGACCGAGAGAAAACCTGACCTAGACAATTAGCAGTCAACCACGAGAATACGCAAGTCACCTCCTCAGAAAAACCATCAATGTTTGGCTCTCTTGTTGCTGCAAGATGGGCATTTGTACTGCTTGATATGCTCGGCTCTTGCTGGGGTGATCTTGACACACTTACCGTGGAACCACTTCTCGCAAATGTCACAGCAAATCCAAAATTCATCAGATGCGTAGTTTTCTCCACAAGCCCCACACAGTGTCTCGCCGTGCTCATCCTCGTCTTCATCTTCCAAACCTTCTTCCTCGTTCTCCTCCGCATCCTTTGACTGCAATGCCTTTGAATACCTGGGTTGAGGCTCAGAACCTCGCTGCATTTGCCAACCGAATATGAATAAGATACAATCTGGCCAGGTTGTTCAGAAACCTAAAACTAATGATTCATCTTCTTGTCTGATGTTGGAATGACATCACAAGATTCACAGAAATTTCAGAGTTGTTATTTTCCGTTAAAAATATTTTATGAATATAGCAAAGTTTCCTCACGGGCACATCTACTTTAAAAAAATAGAAGTAGAAACATCAAACAAGTAATTCAGAAACTGGCAATCAATTTTTTCCAGACCTTAGAGTTTGACTTAGATCTGTTGCTGCCATGATTTGAATTTGATGACTTCTCCTTCACTTGTTTCTTGGCTGTCCCTGTCACAACCTCGAATATTGTTGGAAGTTCATTTATCATATTAAAAAGGCGTTTCCTGCAATGTAGATGCCAACATCATATTGGTAAGTGAATTCAAGATCAATAATACGGTGGTGTTGCAACACGAAACCAGAAGAGGTCACAAGAAAATGAGATTTGGATTGTAGTTAGCACTGCAAGCCGCCAAATGAAGGGCAATGCTGGATAAGTACAATATCAGTACGGAAATTCACAGAAATAGATAGGCCACATTACAGTTTTTGGCGATGCTCTTTATTTAATTTTCATTTGCAAACAGAACTAACTTTACAGAAATAGGCCACGTTACTTCCTTGTACATCAGAAATTTAAATAAAAGACTCCAAAAACTGCAACCGAAAAAAAGAATCCAAAATCCAAACACCTTCAACTACATTCCTAATAAAGATGTCAGAAGAAAGTAACACAACTATAGCACGATCACCTTCTAAATCTTCCAAAAAAGAACATAATCAATCATTTAAAACAGCTGTGAACAGTCGTAAAGCAAGTAGACTACAAAGCATCAACTTTACTATAGCTCAATCGTGAACAGAGGAATTACACAGCAAACATACAAGGTGCGTGTGCATAGACATTGGAACATAAAAAGTTTAAAAACACATAACGACAGGAAACTATAACATCAGGATGATGATTATGCCCTGACTTGACTTCATGGGAATAAAGAAAGCATTTTGCATGCCATATGCAGAACTGTTGGCCTGACCTAAAATTAAGTGATAACGTCAACTTGAACCCACAATTTGAATCCATTGAATCATACAGAATCAAACCACGCATTTATCATATGGTACAAAGAAGAATACCTATCAGCCTTATCAAATCCAAACCTCGCACCGAAATAAAATGCCACTGCAAGCAACCATGCGTCACTATGGACAGCAACCAAGGATAACCAATCCTTTTCTTGCATCCCATCTCTCGCAAAGTTGATACCAAGTGCTGGCTCCGGAAGCTCTGGAGGAACTTCCTCCGCAGGCAAATTAACTTCCCACTGCTCACTTGGGAATCCATAAAGGCAAAAAGATTTTCCTTCTCTGTCATGAAAGATGTTTAAGGTAACGTTACATGCTCTCCGAAAACTAAGGAAGCAATCAAGGTATGAGATAGAAACACGCTTAGAATTAACCATTACAACAGCTTTAAACAGCTGCATTCTCATTTTTCATCAAAATGTATAACACAAGGATAATCAAAATTTCAATTTTTTTAACAAAAGAACCCAAACCACAGCTGATCGCCTTGAAAAACATTTATTTATGTCTTTGAGGTGGTAATAAAAAAACTTCCTTCAATAACCGATCAAACCGCAACAATTCAATTCAACTTTCAAAACTTTAATCAGACATGAAAACACAACTAAACTCATTACTCTAACAATTAAACTCATTACTCTTTGCAAATATGGTTACGGTTGAATACGATAGAGTGGGAGCCTTGTTGGCCTAGGGTCGCCCTTTAACTCTAATAATTTTCGACAAAGAATATATACTTTCTAAGTTTGTATACACTAAACTGATAGTGCATTATTGAAAACTAATAATAATAAAATTTCTTCACATATATTCCAAGATAGTAAATAATTAATTTACCACTAAAAAACAAGTTGAAAATGGATTATTTTCATGAATTACTCAAAAAGCGTATATCAGGGCGCGCCTTAATGCAACGAAAAGGTTGCTACCTAAAAATTACGGGTACGAGCCGTAAAAACAACCTGTTTTGGCATTGATGCGCACGATAGATGTTCCGACTCTCACAAAGCAGAGAGCCTTGACTTAGGTCGCCCTCTACTAAAAAAGCATATATATTTCACACACGTGTCTTAAATACCAGGAATTATTAAAACCAGAAAACCCTAACTCAGTTATTTCGAAAAAACACATTCTGTCATACAACCATGATCTAAAATATCTATAATATCTCGATATTTCCATCAAAATTTCCGTATTTTTTGATTACCGATATTTTTTTGAACTACCGATATCATCGATATTTTAGACCTTGCTAAGTCACTCATGTATCTTACCATGCAATGTATAAAGTGTAAAATATTATACTAATTCATTATATATAAATGATTATGGTGTGTTTAAACTTCTTTCATTAATTACTACATATTTTCTACACTCACAATGTTTGTCAGCTCGCTATATAATCAATTTAAATCAGATATATATATCATGCAAATCATTTCCTTCCAAATTTTTATGATAAACTAATAGATAATTGACTAAATAAACATCCTGCAAATTTCAATAAAAATTTCCTTACAATTTCCGTGGTTTTTATTCAATTTTTATCGATATCGATATTATCTCGATATTTCTATCGAAATTTCCGTGTTTTTAGACTACCGACATTTCCGATACCATCGATATTTAATACCTTGCATACAACCAAATACCGCCTGCACTAAATCAAACAATTAAAAAAAATAAACAGAAATAAAATTAAGGAAAAACGCTGACCAGGGTCGCACTGCTGAAAAAAGTCTTCTACCTCTGCAACCACAAAAAAAAAAGGAAGAAAATTTAATCCTTCATCGAATTTCCATAGCTTTTGGAGTAATAGAGGAAAGTTGACGAAGAAAATTGGAGCGAAAAAGTTACCGGTGGTGAGAGCTTTAATCATGCCGGCCCTCCGCCCTTTGAAGTCTCTGAAGACCTCCTCCACCGTGCGCGGGTTGTACGGAGCACCGCCGTCCATGTGTTCACAATTGCGGAGAGAGAGAGAGAGAGAGTAAGTGGGAAAAAATGGGAGGGAAAGGTTGGGAAATATTTGACCTCTTACTCTGAGAGTTTGGGAGGAGAGAGAGAGTGGGCGTGTAGAGAGAGACAGAGAGAGATGGGGCGGATTTGAATCGGGACGAAACGGATTAATAAAGGGGATTTGATAAATGGGAAGAGTCCGTGAGGCTGACAATAACTGATCGGCTCAAATTATTTTGAAAAAATAAAATAAAAAAACCCCAGCGCGATATTAGTCTTTCGAATCAAGATCTTTGCCACGCTGGCATTGGTCGATTACTGTTGGTATGACTGATTAGGATGGTTGTGGGTCCCCCACAGACAACAACTCGACGTGGCTTTAAAGATTTCAACAAATTCTTGGTGAATGAATCGAGAAACTTACGTAAAACAAATTTACAGTCCCGTAATGTTTTAATTCGTTAATATGTCTTTAATATGTCAGCGATATTTAATTTAGATCAATATCAACTGAAATTTAATTTTTGAGTAATGTTATTCATACCATGTTTTTGTATCACATTTTCATTTCATTTTAGATGTCATTTGATGAGGACAGTCACATCATTTGAAAAATTTGTAAAACCCAAGGAAATGAAGGAGAAAGACTCATCGTATACCACAATCATGATTTAATTAACTAGTTTTTTTTAATTATTATTTTATTAAATAATGAACTAAATTAAAAATCTGATTAATTCAAATGATGTGACTATCCACATCAAATGCCACCTAAGGTGGTATGAAAATGTGATACAAAAACATGGTATGAATAACATTACTCTTAATTTTTTATTATTTTTAAAAAAAATTAACGAAAAATCAATTATAATACTATTTACTTTACCCTTTATTTTATCCTTATCATTAGACTCAATGTTTTTAAACATTTTTCATTAGTTTTCCATTATTTTAAAGGAATTTTAATAAAAAGCTCCCGGTATTGTTATTTTAACGAAAAACCACATTTTTACACTAAAAAGTTAATTTTAGTACTGTTCACTTTACCCTTTATTTTATCCTTATCATTAAAACTCAAAATTTTCAAACTATTTTTATTAGTTTTCTTTATTTTAATTGGTTTTTCCATTACTTCAGTCTTTTATCTCTCACGCTAATGAAGAGGATTTCAATTCCAAACCACAATTTTTTGGAAAGAAAATTTTTCGTTCAATTTTGTTCCAAAACTTTTTAAGATGCAATTTCACAAAATATATGGCGGATCCATTCTTCGATCCGAGTGGTTCTGGGACTACCCAAAATATTTCCGAGAACCATCCAACGATCTGGACAGGTGGTGAAAAAGAGAAGACTATCATGGTTGTGCAAATGTTGTGTAATAGAAGTTTTGAATTAAGAAGAAAAATATAATTTCAGACAAAGTAGAACACAAAGAAGGCCACAATGGATCTGCTATCTTCAACCTTGGTTCGAACAAAGAATATATACTCTCTCTCTCTCCATTTCCCACATGAACAAGTTGTGTCACCTAGAATTTTAATTAATAAAGGCAGACCGAAAACATTTAGTTTGTCATGAATCCATCGTGTAGATGGAAAGCATGCTCGAGCTTCATGTAGATGGAAAGCATCAGGCAGACCGCAGACCGCAGATGATATAAAAGCATGAGAAATCGCTGTTCTTGATCCTCTAGAGCTTACTTTTTCATGAATCCATCGTGTTCGTAAAAAGCTAGTTGCCAGTTAGAACCCTCAAGCTGCATTACTAATTTGCTTCACTGTCAAGTGCCTCCTTCCTTCTCCCAGACAAACATAAATGTTCATCTACCACTCTTCTGTAACTATCTACATCAACCACAGTGCATTTCTTACTCATGTAATCAAATATCCTCTCAGATTCAACCACCATCCCTTTTGCGCACAATCCTTGATCAAAATCGAAAATCTCTCCAAACTGAAAATGTTATTGTTATCCAGGGTTCCACAGAAAGTCTGCACTGCCATATTCACGTTGCCATCTTCGCAATAACCCTTATTTATGCAACCGTGGAGGTTGGTACGTAGCTCGTGACCATTCCCAAGCATGTCACGAACAAGCTCTTCAACTTCCCCCATTCTACCTCTCATATCACAAAGACTGCATATCACTGTGTTATACGAAAAGAAATTCGGAGAGCAACCCATTTGATGCATTTCCTTTAGAGGAAAAATAGCTCTTTCAGGTTCCCCACTTTCAACAAGAACTCTGAGTAGTCTATTAAAGCATGAAACACTCAGCTCTAGGCCTCTCATATTTATTTCCTTCAAAAGCGAAATCGCTCCATCTGGTTTTCTCAACTTACGGTACTCATTAATAATCACCACATATGCCACTTCAGGTTTCATCCCAAGGCTCACTATATCTTTAAGATGTTTAGTGGCGGTGTCTGGCCCCCCCTCAATGCAAAGCCCTTTCAAGATAGTCATGTGTGTTACTATATCATCCTTCACACAATGTAATCTCATCTTTGTCACCATCTCCTTCACCTCACCAATCTGCCCACTCAAACACAAACCATGAATCAGAGCATTGTAACTGAACAGATTAGGCTCACAACCCAGTTTCTCCATTTCACTCATGCACTTCATCGCCTTCTCCAACTTGCCTTTCTTGCAATACCCATCAATCAAAGTTGTATAAGTTACCGAATCAGGCAAGCAATCCTTACTCTCCCTCATGTGACCCAAAACTCTCCATGCACTATCAAAATCACCCTTCCTACAAAACCCATGAATCATGGTACTATAAGTGATCACATCTGGCTCACAACCATGCTTCTCCATTTCATACATACACTTCATCGCCTCCTCTGACTTGCCTTTCTTACAATACCCATCAATCAATATTGTACAAGTTATCCTATCAGGCAAGCAATCCCTACTCTCTGTCATCCGAACCAAAACTCTCCTAGCACTATCAAAATCACCCATCTTAAAAAACCCATGAATCATGGTATTATAAGTAATCACATTTGGCTCACAAATCATTTCATTAAACATCTTCTGGGCATTCTTAACATCACCCTTCTTACCCAAACAATGAATCAAAATACTGTAGCTAATCTGATTAGGCTCACTACCCTGCTTCTCCGTCTCACTCATGCACTTCATCGCCTCCTCCAACTCGCCTTTCTTATAATACCCATCAATCAAAGTTGTATATGTTACCGTATCAGGCAAACAATCCTTATTTTCCCTCATACAACCCAAAACTTGCCTCGCACTATCAAAATCACTAGTCTTACAAAACCCATGAATCATAGTATTGTAAGTAATTATATCACGCTTGCAAGTCATTTCATCAAACACCTTCTGGGCACTCTTAGTGTCACCGTTGTTGAAAAACCCATGAATCAGAGCATTGTAAGTAAACATGTTAGGCTCACAATCCTGCTTCTTCATTTCACTCATGCACTTCATCGCCTCTTCCAACTCGCCTCTCTTACACTACCCATAAATCAAAGTTGTAAAGTTACTGTATCGGGCAAGCAGTCCTTACTATCCTTCATTCGATCCAAAACTCGCCTCACAGTATCCAAATCGCCCTTCTTACACAACCCATGAATCATGGTATTATAAGTAATCATATTCCGGTTGCAAGTCATTTCATCAAACACCTTCTGCGCATCGTTAACATCGCCATTCTTATAAAACCCATGAATCATAGTATTGCAAGTAATTATATCCCGCTCGCAAGTCATTTCATCAAACACCTTCTGAGCATTCTTAGTATCACCCTTGTTAAAAGACCCACGAATCAGAGCATTGTAACAAACCAGGCAAACAACCCTGCTTCTTCATTTCACTCATGCACTTCATCGCCTCTTCCAACTCGCCTTTCTTACAGTACCCATCAATCAAAGTTGTATAAGTTACCGTACTGGGCAAGCAATCCTTACTATCCTTCATTTGATCCAAAACTCGCCTTGCAGTATCCAAATCACCCTTCTTACAAAACCCATTAATCGAAGTGTTGTAAGTAACCATATCCCGCTTAGCAAGTCATTTCATCAAACACCTTCCGCGCATTCTTAACATCACACTTCTGACAAAATCCATGAATCATAGTATTGTAAGTAATAAGATTCGGCTTGCAAGTCATTTCATCAAACACCTTCTGGGCATTCATATTATCACCCTTGTTACAAAACCCGTGAATCAAAGCACTGTAAGTTAGATTAGGCTCACAGGTCATTTCATCAAACACCTTATGTGCATTCTCCATTTCACCCATTTTGCAAAACCCTCTGATCATTATCGTACAGGTAAAAACATCCGGCTTCACCAGAGCTTCCTTCACAAGGTGATCATGTATTTCCTTAGCCAAACTCAACCTGTCAGCCCTAATCAGCGCATCCAAAATCGCATTGTACAAAAACAAGCATTTCCCATTCTCGATCAACTTCGCCTTGTGAAACCAATCCATGGCGCTCGGATCTCCCCTCGTTTGCCACGAACCGCGATAAACCTGCTGAGCACGAGTCTATTGGATTCTTGAAGGAGAGAGGCAGCGATAGAGAAGAGAGAGTGGGAGAGGAGGAGGTCAGTGATGGCCAAGTAGCAATGGCGAGTGTGGGAATAGTAGTTGGGATTAGGGTTAGGGTTTGAGGCCCAGTTGAAGAAGAAGAGCGCATGGTGAGGGTTGGCCTGAGCTTTGACCACGTTGATTACAAGGCTTGGTTTCAGAAGCGGCAGGCTTGGTTTCAGAAGCGGCGAGAACCGGTTAAGAGGGGCTGAGGGATTTTGGGTTCGCAGAAGGGAGTTTATGCGGATTTCCTCAGATCGATTTATAGATGTTAGAGACGGCTTTAGAGATGTAAAAAACTTCTCATCATCAATAACAATAGGGGGTGATATCCACACATCCATTTTTACTTCTTACACACTTTTTTAATTTTTGGCTGTCGGATCGGGTTGAATTGAAGAAGATCAAAGAACAAAAATTAACAAGGATGTGTGAGAAGTAAAAAGGAGTGTGTGGATAGCACACCCCTAACAATAATAAATAATATCCCTAAAATATCCCTAGTCTTTTCCAATCGAAATGTCAATTCTTATATGACATGACATAGAAATGAAGCAAAGGAATTTGGTGTCAAATTTGACAACAGTTTCAAATCTATTTTTAGTAATTAATAAAAGTTTTTTTCATAATTTTTACTATCATTTGCCTACATACTTTGTGTGTATAAACACATTTTTTTTTAGAAAATGAGAAGGAGAGAGGGAGGGAGAGAACATGGGGGAGTGGAAGGTTTTTGTTTTTTAATATTAGAGGTATTTTAACATCACCTGTAGATGAGGCTTCAATAAAAAATAGTAAAATTTGGACCTGTGAAATTACATTATTGCCCATCATTTTTTTTGTATGATAGAAGACTAAGTAGTATTTTTATCCTCTTTTAGTTGACAAAAAAAGTTTCATTAATTAATAGAGATATTTATCTTTTGTTTTAAAATATTAATTACAACTATAAAAAGTAAATAATGTAATAAATAATAGTTTAAATTTGACATATCGGTTGGAAAACAAAGTTTATAAAAAATTAATGTGCCACATAAGCCTTCAAATTTAAATTTTATGTTTAAACTTTGACATCTTATTTGGAGATGATCTTAGGGTTCTTGTTGGTGTAGCCATTGATTTCCACATTGTCTCCAATTTGGGGATAACATATAATTCACTTCACTTTTGGCATTTCTGAATCAGTTATTAAAAGAATGAGGAAATTGTAACAATAATCTTTCAACTTTAATCCAATTGAAGTAATAGCCCCTCAACTAAAAATCTATGGTATTTGACCCTTAACTCATCAAAACGTGTAACTATGATCTTTTTCGTCAACTCCATTAGAACTTCCGTCAAAATAAGTGACATGTGTGGCACGTGAAGGTGAATCAAGGGGTAATATGGAAAACTAAATGAGAAAAATTGTGACAATAGTTCCTCAACTTTAACTCAATTGGAGAAATAGTCTCTCAACTTTAACTCAATTGGAACAATGATTCTTCAATTTTAACCTAATTGTAGCAATGGTTTTTTAACCATAACTCATTTTGACAAAGTTGATGAAATTGACTATAGCGACACATTTTGATGAGCTAAGGACCAACGGTGATGAACTTTTAGTTGGAAGACAATTTCTCCAATTAAATTAAAGTTGTAAGACCATTGGTACAATTTTTCCAAGAGAAGAAGACCTCTTTCTTTAAAATGCCAATCATGCCTATATTTTCCCTATTTTACCCTTGCTTCCACCAAACAATATTTACGTAGTGTATAGAGACACCAACTCTCTCTCCCCACCTACTTCTTGCTTTTCTGTTACACATGGATTTGGTGACAGGAAATTGAATCATACAATTTTTGCTTCTTTCTTTGTTCATTAACTTGGAAAATTGTAATTTCTTAAGGATATTCTTTATGTGATTGTAATGTGACGAGAAAAACCACAGTTAAATTTATGTCCAACGGAAATCTGAAGCATGAAGTTTGTAAGTCGTGCCTAGCACATGTGATGTAAGCGTGTTTAGTGCATATGTTTAAAGACCTCTAATCCATAAACCAAAATAGTGCACTTTGGTGCACATTGGGGGACAACATCCACTAGGCCGCCGGAGTGTAGCGACACCAACAGCTTGGGGAGCAATTTGAAGTAAAGCGTTCGACCAGGCCATGGGGTGGAGTTGAACTCCATCGATGTGGTCAATCGCCGCCACGAGGGTGTCTACGGAAAGCAGAAGCAGGTCTGAGCTTCACGTTGAAGGAAAAATAAACCTAAACCTGCGGTCGAGAGATAGTTGTCTGATAAGGGATGTATGAAATGAAGAGAGGAGCCGTGGTGGTCTGATCCGAGGCACATAAAAGCGTGTCAAATCGATGTTTTTTATTCTGAAAGAGTGTACTTGTACATGGCTTATGGGTCCATCTAATTCATCATAGCCAAAATGCCAATTAGAACCTTGAACCCTTGATTACTGGTTGTACTACCAAGTATCCTCAGTTATCTCCCTAAAATGCTCATCTAGCACCCTTCTGTAATTATCCACATCAGCCACGGTGCATCTCTTATGCATATCGTCAAATACCCTCTCAGCCTCAACGACCATCCCTTTCGCACATAACTCCTTGACAAAAACCGAAAAGCTCTCCAAACTAATAATGTATTTAGCATCCAGTGCTGCACAGAAAGCCTGCATTGCCATTTTCACATTGCCATCCTCACAATAACCCTTAATCACGCGACTGTAGAGGGCGGTATCAAGCTCATGACCATTCTGAAGCATGTCATGAACAAGCTCCTCAACTACCCCCATTCTACCTCTCATATCACAAAGACTACTTATCACTGTGTTATACGAAAAGAAATTTGGGGAGCAGCCCATCTGTGGCATCTGCTTCAGAAGAACAATAGCTCTTTCCAGGTCCCCGTTTTCCACAAGAACGGTTAGCAGTCTATTGAAGTTTGAAACACCTGGCTCTAGGCCTCTCATCCGCATTTCCCTCAAAAAGGAAACAGCTCCATCCGGGTTTCTCATCTTACAGTACTCATTAAAAACGATCCCGTATGCTGCCACATCCGGTTTCATCCCAAGGCTCACTATATCTTTAAGATGTTTAGCAGCGTCGTCAGGCCTCCCCGCAATGCAAAGCCCTTTCAAGATAGCCGTATGTGTTGCTATATCGTCCTTCACACCATTTAACCTCATCTTTGTCACCATCCTCTTTGCCTCACCAACATTCCCACTCAAACACAAACCATGAATTAAAGCATTGTAAGTAAATAGATTAGGCTCACAACCCTGCTTCTCCATTTCACTCATACACTTCATCGCCTCCTCCAACTCGCCTTTCTTACAATACCCATCAATCAAAGTTGTATAAGTTACCGTACCAGGCAAGCAATCCTTACTCTCCCTCATCCGGCCCAAAACTCGCACCGCACTATTGAAATCACCCGTCTTACAAAACCCGTGAATTATAGTATTGTAAGTAATCACATTCGGCTCACAAGTCATTTCATCAAACACCTTCCGGGCATTCTCAATTTCACCCCTTTTGCAGAACCCCCTGATCATTATCGTACAAGTCGAAACATCCGGCTTCACCAAACCTTCCTTCACAATCTGATCATAAATTGCCTTAGCTAAACTCATCCTGTTTGCCCTAACAAGCACACCCAAAATAGCATTGTACGAAAACAAGCATTTCCCACTCTCAATCATCTTTGCCCTGTGAAACCAATCCATGGCGGCTCGGATATCACCCAATCCACCGTGAGCGGTGATGAACCTGCCGAGCAAGAAATCATAGAGTCTGTTGGATTCTACAAGTAGTGAGGCGGCGGTGGAGAAGAGAGAGTGGGAGAGGAGGAGGTCGGTGATGGCCAAGTAGCAATTGTGAGTGTGGGAGTATTTGTTGGGATTAGGGTTGGGATTTGAGGCCCAGTTGAAGAAGAAGAGGGCATGGTAAGGATTGGTCTGAGATTTGATGACTTGGGTAACAAGTCTTGGGTTCAGGTGAGGTGAAAACTGGTTAAGAGGGGCTGAGCTGACATTGGAGGGGTTGGGTTTTTGGGGATTTAGGGTTTGCAGAACGTAGGTTATGGAGGTTAAGAGAGAGAAATTTGGAGATGTGTGAGATGGCTTGATTAGGGTTCTTGGTGGCGTGGCCATTGATTTTCCGAGGACCCTTCTTCCAGCAGAAGAAGACGGTGACTTGGTGTGTTTCTAATTTGACATACGCACTTTTCGAGAAGCCAAAAACGATATATATAAACATAGCAATTTGTTTTTTTTTATTACCAACAACACACAGTTACAAGAAAGAGACCTACATACAACACAAACACAAAAACAAAAGTATTGACCAAAGTACAACAGAAAACAGGAAAAAAATCGAATAGCTTGCATCCTCTGCCACAGCTTCCTCCGCCTCTACCGTAGCATCCTCCGTCGTTGCTGCCATCCGAAAGACCTCCAGACTCGAACCAGTTGCTAGAAAGCAAGCCAAATCGAGCCCTCAAAGTGGCTAAAAAGAAGGCTTCAACAACCGCCAAAGAACACATTGAAGATCGGCACCACAAATCAAAGGAAGCTCGCAGGAAACAACCCACGAGCAATAGAGGCAAGAAGGCCAAGTCGAGGCAAGAAGGTGGTGAGAACATCCGAGCATCGAAAAAATCCGAAGCTCTACACATCTCTCTCCTAAATGGGAATCGCGAGGATTTGCGTTCACAGTGTGGATTAGTGAAAGCCGATCTAGAGGATGAGAGCATTGGAGGAGTGAGCCAAGTGGAAAGGGTAGGGTGTGGAGTGATGAAAACAAAGTAGGTGGAGGGAAAAGGAAAGGAAGAAAGGGGAGTTGAGGAAGGGAAACCAGAAGCAGCAATAGAGGAAAAAATCAGCAGGGACAAAAGGAAAGAAAAGGAAAACAAGAGGAGCAAGGGCTACCACCAACCCTAGTCATAGCTAAGATCAGTGGTAGGGAGGAGGAGAACAGAAGTTGGAGATGCACTCACACGCAGGCGGTGAGACGAACTTTCACGAAGGAAAGGAGAACTCTCACGAAGGAGAGAACAATTTTTTTTTTTAAAAACATAGCAATTTTAGACCAATAGAAGGTGTGTTAATTTTTAAGAGCCAAGGCGATGATGTTAACAAGTGTTCGTATTAAGTATGTTTTGTATTGTGATCAACTCAAATAGTTGATTTGGAATATAATTGGCTTTTTATATTAGCATCTCACAAAATGTTGAATGCACCCAACATTAAAATTTAATATTAAATAACTTATTTACCCCACTTTGCAATAACAATTTTGACCTTATTAAGTTTTTATAAAAAAATAAAAATTTCTAAATACATCCCATATCACTTTTAGCATGGTAAATGCCGAGCTTTTCGAGAGCTAGCCAACTTGGTACAGCTCATACTTTGATCTCCGATAACTGGATCATCTATTCTTATACCGGACACTAATACTGGGTTACACCGGTTGCTTATGCAGACACTAATACTTGGCAACAGAGATGACATTGAAACAAATGTCAAATAGTAGCTCGGCTGTTCTTACAACCGTGCCTCAAGCTATTGACAAGTATGATCTGTCTGGGCAAGTGGCCTATCCTAAGCATCACAAGCAATCAGATGTACCTGTCATATATTGTCTAGCTGCAAAAACAAAGGTACATACATACATACATACTGTATGATACAGGCTTCAATTATGTCTTTAAAAATGAGCCCTGGTTGGCTTCACAAGGTCAGATAACCCTTCACAAGGTCATTTTCAACAATTAAATTTCTAAGAGTAACAATTTACGGGGATTTCTATTGAAGGAAGTTTTCATCAACCCATCTCTCGTGGAACCTTCACAATGAAGCCATTACTGATGTTACCCTACTTAACGAAGGTAAACATCAGTCGATGCAAACTATACTAAGATGATTTCAAATCATCATTTTGAAATCATTCGGCAAACTAAACGTTCAGATGATTTGAAATATTTCGGCAAACTAAACATTCAAATGGTTAGATTCAATTCCTGAAATTTAAAAATGAGTGTTATAAGATTTGAGAAATGTGGGATGTATAAAAAATGTGAGGTGTATGTATAAAATATAAGGTGTATATTGAAAATGTGGGGTGTGGGGTATCATGGGAAAGTATGTGGGGTGTATTAAGATAATTTTTAAGTGAAAAAGCAAATGTGAGGTATATTAAATATGTAGGATTTATTCAACAATTAGTGGGGTGTTAATATAATAAGTGATATAATTTTGACAAAAAGTCAATTTCATATGGTAATTAGTATAGACGTACTTTTAAACACACTCTTACATACATAAATTGCAGTTTTACTCAATATTACCATTGTTTTAGTCTCAAATATTTGACTTTTACAAAACTTATGAATTTCATTCTATAAAAGTATTTTCAAAACACACCGTTGCGTTCTTAAATTTTTGATAAAGCAAATTTTCTAAATTGCTTCAATTTATAAAGAAAAAAAATTCAAATTCAAGTGAAAGAGCACATCGTTGTTTTTTTTTAATTTTTTTAATTTTATTTTATTTTATACAAACTCAATCAACAAAAGATATTGAAAAACACAAACGTTCTTTGGGTTCAAACCCAGCGATGCTCCACATGTTACATTTTATGATGTTGGTGATCACATTCATACTCACTAGTGCAAAGCCTTCCTTTTTGTGGCGATTTGATGTCAGTAGCTGCAACTAGCAAACTCACACGATCACATTGTTCTTGGGGGACAGCATCCGCTCGGCGGCCGGAGCGTAGCGACACCAACAGATTTCGGAGCAACTCGAAGCAAATGGTTAGACCAGGCCATGAGGTGGAACTGAACTCTGTCCATCTGATCGATCGCCGAGTGAAGAGTCTCTTTAATTTCGGTGTGATCACAGCAATGTATGAGCCCGGCGGAGCTGACATATGAAGGCATCAAGCTCTTGCCTTCTAACCTGGATATCACAAGCTGGTAACCACTTGCATATGCTTCCTCATGAAGGCTTCTAAGCCCTGATCGATCTGCGGGCGAACCTTTTGCTACCGAGTGTATGCAAATCAAGCCCTACATTTATTTTTAGAGCATAAAATTTGAGAACCAGTACCTGTACATTAAACATGTACGTATGTCACGTGTTCGTAGGGCAGAATTTCTCCTTACCTCTTCGGTTCGTTTGATGTCCAATCCAAACCGTGCTTCACCGGGTTCAGGTATCAATTCGATCAACAGTTCTGCAACTCCGGGCATAAACCAAAGCCTTATGCCCTGCGCGATTTGGACCGTTGTTGTGTGGTTTTGTTGTTGTTTGTTCCAATTCATTTCCTTTCCTAGTAAATTATTTTTATCCTTCACGTAATAAGGGAAATTAATCGAACCGCTTAATAACTGGTTACTAGCTAGAAATTCAGCTTGAGTTAGAAGAGAGACTGAGATTATACCGACGACACAATCTGTTCTGTTTGGATGTTAACAAAAATAAGCGGGGCTCCAGAAGCAACTGCAGCAGAAAACCAAGCCATGCACCGGGCAGTTGTGGCCTCCGTGCAGTACTCGCCTGGCAGCGGCATGAACAGAATGGAGCTAACGATCGTGCACCGTTGGTCGGGCAAGTAGCTGTCGACCTTCATCTTCCAGTCGTATTTAACTCCCTTTTTGTTGTATCCCCTGTATTCCACATTCACCAAACTCCTGCTCATTTCTGCAAAATCACATAAACAGCAATGAACGAAGGTCGTTGGATCAAAATTTTCGTAACTCATGAATGAATGTACGATCTTTATTCAAACAATGTGGAATGAAAACATAATATGCAGTCCTGGTTCATAGTACGACAGCGTGACATGTTTTATGAGACTTGATAATAATCGCTAATCAACGGCAAGACAACATAACACGTCAGATATCTTATAAGAGATCGTCACTAAATACAGTACCAACATGGACTGGAAACCGGCGAAGAAAAACGTACCTTGCAGCTCAGTGAATTGATCCGAGGTCAAGTCCCCCAAAACTGCAACATGTCTATCATCCGTAGCCGCTTTGATCGTATACTTTTTGTGAAGCATCGAAAGCCTCTCAGCCACAACGCCCGTCCGGAGCTTGAGAGTGCTATCACCCCTCCTCACCTTCACCCAAATGACATCCACATTGCTGAACTTAGCGAGCAGCGACGTAAGCTCTGCCTTGGCTTTCGTAGGCACGAAAAGCTCGTCACCAATATTGTCACGGCTCTCGGAGTTATAAACCCCTTCAATGATGTCCCCGGGCAATGGCATGCTCTCGTCCCACTCTTCCGACGCCTCTTGCTTCACTTGCTTCACGCAAACCAGCGTCGTTGCAACAGCTGCCATATTTTTCCTCTTCAGAGTGCAGAAGCTGCTTCCCATTATCTTATCGATCGAATTCGACGAAGACATAGTTCGTGGAGATCTTAGGAATCTCCATCCATGTTCGAACACTCCAACGTTAATTTTCGGTTACTTCGCCGTACTCTCGGTGAGGAACATTGTCATCCTTCTGAGGGCGTGTTTATATTATTATATAGTGATGCTATCTAGAAATCCCGCTGGCAGATTTTTCAGTATGACCGGTACATGAGTGGTACATCATGTGTCATTATACAAATGGTGGGATATGTGTGCTAAAAAGTTAATAACCTAAAAAATAAAATTTCCCACCACTTCTATTAAAACACGTGATATACCACTTATATTCCTGTCACAATGAAAAATTTCTCCAATTTTACATGGGATTTTATGTGAAAATTTTAATTAGGAACCCATAAATTAAGAGCAAATACAAAATTTAGTATAATAATCCGTAATTAAAGTCAAACATCTGCAAATGTATGATCATTTCCTGTACATGTTACTTTCAATTTCTCAAGATATTAGTCACATTCCCTCGATAAAAAATAATTACAAAAACGCTATCTAGAAAACAACGGAAATAATTGATTGGACTACTCTCGAATGCAAAATTGGGTGGCGAGATACGAACTAAGTCATCCGTGAGGCACCCCTCACAAAAAAAAGTCAAACTCTCTGTATTTTAATCTCATCTAACTCGACAATGACCGAAAATTGGGGTGAGAAGATATGTACTTTACTCACATTATGGGACAAGTTCAACTATTTCTCTTTCAAGCCTAGAGATTTCAGCTTCAGCATGAACCCTCGTGTTTGCGTCGTCGGACTCTAAACTCGGTGTCAACCTAGAAATCTGCCTGTTGATGCTTCGAATCTGCGTGTTTGATCGAAAAAATGAAAGGGTAAGGAAAAATAAACACATAAATAAGAAATAATTCTATGAAGTAGTTTATAGAGGAGGACAAACCTTTCTAGAGGGCCATCTGTTTAATCCGTTTCGGCGGCATATCCTTTTCACAACAGTTGGGCAAACCTTCAATCTCCTAGCAGCTTTTTGAATCGGAAGATGGAAGTAACCACGAAGATCGTCCAACGTCATGTTTGCTGTTCTCTCCCTCTGCACTACTTCCACAGCATTACACAAACAAACATGTTAAAAACAACCTGCGAAGATCGTCCAACAGTTGTAGCTAAATGTACTTAGAGAAGTAAATTAGTGACACAAATTAAGATAAAATTTAGATAATTTAAGAGCTTTTGGATTGAGAGAAAGGTTAACAACAACCTGCGCTGCAAGGGAAATCCTCTCGTTCTCATCCTCAGCAGCCTCTAGTTGATCAGCAGCGGGTTGTTGTTGTTCCACTTCACCGGCTCTTCCTGAAATTGACAAAAAAAATACTCAAGTAATCAACAGTATACGACGATTAAATTTTCAGAATGACAGAAGTTCGCGGGGAAAATCAAACACATGAACCTGAATTTAGAGGAGATGGTGGGAAAGTGAAGTCATCGGTGTTTAGAATGTCATCCCACTCGAGTCCAACGCAGAGGGCCTCGTAGAAGATTGCCATTGGATCTTGCTGCATAATGTATCCCTCTAGCTTTCTCTCTAGGCAGTACTGCATCAGAAATTGCTTCACCTCCTCTATGCTTTTCTTGCAAAAACTAAATTCCAAAACGAAAAAAATGTATTTAGTCTTTTTGTTCATGTTTAAACGGATCACACCCTTTGCGAATGAGATGGAACGAAACAAACAGGATCGAAAAAACTTACTCAAACATTTGATACTGATGATTGTCGGAAGATTTCATATCGAAACTGTGGAGAATTGCATGACTGATCATACCGAACCTTCCATGAATGTCAAATTTCATGACATGATTGCCTTTCCACACCAGATGAAAATAAAATCAATACCATATTCAACACATAAACTGAATAGTACCCACTAAACCGACACTAATTTACACAAAAAATAAACTTAAAACTTACCATTGGAGTGTATGATTTCCCTAAGCAGTTGGCAACAACTGCAGTTAAATGGAACCGGTATCGCAGGCCAAACCGAAAGCGGCACGGGATCACCAAAATCCTGATTCTGCTCAATGTTGTCCCCTCTGGGAGGACTAGTACCACTCGATTCTCCGATAATATGCGAGGGACCGGCTTGCGAATCTACGTTCCCTCCGCCATTACTACACTGATTGAGGAAATCCCATGTTGCTTGATCCAACAAAGGGTCGTCCAAGTCTTGGATTCCCTCATCAAACAGAGAAATTGGATTAGTAGGGCAAGTGAGTCCCTCATCGTCCAAAGGCGGTAACGGTACGTTCTCATCGAGGATCGGATGTTCGGAATCATACAGAAAGTTAATAATATCGGAACACAGGCCATTTTCGTACGGGTCATGGTACGGTACAACAGCCCTAGGATCTGCCATGCATAAAAAAATTGTATCTATCTACAGAAACTATACAATTATCTGAAGTTTCACTTCGAAATGTTTCTTTTGATTCTTCGGTTTTTTGTTTGATTTTGCAAGTTTTGCCTAGACCGAAAGCGAATTGGAGGGTCTCGAGCACCAAATTTTGGTGCTCGAGAGAAATGGGAACAGGTCTTTTTTTGAATTGGAAGTGAAAGTTTTGAGAGGGTGCAAAGAAATAGAGGAACAAGGCGCGAGTGACGGTTAATTACCGTTTGGACAAGAGTCTGTTGGGATTTTTGAAAGGTTTTGAGGCTCTCATCCTGTGCTGTGTGTTCCATCGGAAGGATCTTATAAACTCCTCGCGGTTCATTTTAACGAAAATTACATTTTTACACTAAAAAATCAATCATGGTACTATTCACTTTAGTCTTTATTTTGTCTTTATCATTAAAACTTTAAGTTTTCAAGCCATTTTTATTAGTTTTCTATTTTTTTTTTTGGAGTTTTAACAAAACACTCATGGTAATATTCACTTTTAACGAAAAAAACTACATTTTTACCTTTAACTGACATTATTCACTGTGCCTTCAAAAAGAGCTTTTCGTTAAAAAAGAAGTTTTTTTGAATTTTTTGTTAATTTTCCTTTTTGTTTCCTAAGGGATTTCCAGTGCAATTAGCGATATCACACAGTAACCATTTTTCCGATGGTTTATTATTTTTATTCTATTAATATTTGACTTTTCTGTTGATTTTTTTTAATTGAATTTGCATTAAAGTGCACAATCATCATTATTCTCTATCATAGTAAAGCGCCCGTTTAAATTTGAGTTTGTATTTTCATTTTATGTATATCATGCATAATTTAAAATAAGGTAATGCTAGATAAATTAAATTTGAAAACAAAATTTGCAAACTAAATGATGTGTAGGAATGAGCACATTTATCAACGTTTAAGTAATAAACCAATCATCAACTTCTATGTCCTTTAGTTTTCAAATTTTTTCTTTAAATTTAGTCTTTTTAGCATTATTCTTTAAAATATCATAATGTCAAAAAAGATAAGTGATATGTGAATAAAATCGACATTCATTGAATCAACGGGAGAACGAAATTTAGATCTTAAATTCAACATTGTAATATATATCACCAACACTAGACCAAAAATTAATTAGTCACTAACTTTGATAAATAAATGTTTGCTAAGAGATTTCTTTGTTCCAATAAATTGATCAATGAATTTCGAAAATAGGTCTAGATGTTCTTTAATTTGAAAAATACATCCCCATATTTATTTTTACTTTTTACATATTATTTGTTAATTTTTAATTTTTAATATTTTAATTTATTTGATCCAACGATCGAAAATAGAGCGTGAGAGAACAACAATGTTAATTAGTCACAAAAGGGTGAAAAGGGAAGGAAAACAACGTTTTAATCCCCAAAAGCCAAAAAATCCGAGTCCGTAGAAATTTGGTGCTTTGAGAGAAAATGAAAGCAGCACTGTCAACACTAATCAGCTCCAAGAATCTCAACCCTCACTCCTCCTCCTCCTCTTCTCTCTGCCGCTCCATTTGCCTCCGCCCGAACCCTCTCTCCCCTCCGCCGTATTTCCTCTCTCCAATCGCACCCTCCAAAGCCCTCACCACCAACATCCGCATCGGTCTCAGCCGCAAGTCCCAGACCCGCTCTGCAAATTTCTCGTCGGTAATGGCGTCGGTTTACAAGCCCGAAGAAGCCAGGGTCCCGCCTGCCCTTCCCCTGCCCACTCCTCCCGTCACCAAGGCAAGCTTTCTCTTTAATCTCTGTGTGTATCCGGTGATTTCGTTGTGAATTTTTGGAGTTTTGAGGCTGAACTTGAATTGGGTCTTTTGTGCAGTTTAAGATTGGGCTGTGTCAGTTGTCTGTGACGCCGGATAAGGAGAGGAACATTGCCCATGCTCGCAAGGCCATCGAGGACGCCGCCGCAAAGGGTGCCCAGCTTGTTCTTCTACCTGTGAGTTTAACAGTTTTACCTTTTGGGACATTCATGTTGGTATGCTGTTTAAGCTTGCTGGTTCAAGTTAATTATTGGTTTATTAGGCTCCTAATTTTTGTTAAGTTTAACAATATATGTTCGGAATCGGAAATTTGGAAACTGCATTCCTCAGCTAATAGAATGTTAGATGCCCATAAGAATAGTGTAGTTTGAGTCTGCATAGTTCTTTCGAGTAACCAAAAGGTTGGTGCTTTATTGGGTTTGTTCACTTTCACCTGCTAAGTATAGATTTACCATCAAAGTGGGGGGTTGTATCGGAACAAATTTATGTTACATAAGACCAGATGGCTATAAGCTCAGATTTTAAGAAATGTTAAGATTTTTGGCATTAAGTTGTGTTTGATGCTTTGTATGTCAGGAAATTTGGAATGGTCCATATTCAAATGACAGCTTCCCGGTTTATGCTGAGGACATTGATGCAGGCGGCGATGCATCTCCTTCAACAGCCATGCTGTCTGAAGTTGCTCAACGTTTGAAGATCACCATTGTTGGTGGATCTATAGCGGAGCGTTCTGGGGTTCGGTTGTACAATACTTCTTGTGTCTTTGGCACCGATGGAAAGCTGTTAGCTAAACACAGGAAGGCAATGTTCTAAGCTTTAACATGAAGGGGGAACTTATAATATCAAGTTCAAGTCTTGTTATGCAAGATATTGTTTTCGTATGGTTATATGTCTATATGAAAAATTGCTCCTTCCATTTGCTTTAGAAATGTATAGACTTGATGTTTTTGAACATATAATGATTACCTTTCAAGGGAAATTATGTGTCTTAGTCTTTGTTTCTTACTGTTTTATTAACAAAAATCATGGCATATGGTCACAGATACACCTATTTGATATCGACATCCCGGGGAAGATTACCTTCATTGAATCAAAGACCCTCACAGCAGGGCAGACTCCTACCATTGTGGATACAGGTTTGATGTTCATTCTTTGCAGTAGTTTTGTTCATTGGTTCTTTCTTTTACACAAACATCTATTCCTTTGGTGAAAGAAGTTAGTTCATTCATTATTGATGGGATGGTAACCATCAATTGGTTTTTGCAGAAGTTGGACGTATTGGCATTGGTATCTGTTATGACATTCGGTTTCCGGAACTAGCAATGATTTATGGAGCAAGAGGTTAGCCGTTTCTTTTTCTTTCCATGAACGTGAAATTTGTTTCCACTTTCTGGGTATTGCTAAACTGATAAAATTAAGGGCTACTCTTTCTGTAGTCGGTACACCTAATCCTTTGAGATTTAATAAAATTCAAGAACATGAAATCTGCCACAGGATTCTTCTTTGCAGTTCAATTATTCTGCTTGTTGTTAAAAAGGAATGGAATTATATCTCCTTTGTTTAATCCCTTCCAAGTGAAGGACTGATTGGAAATACCGAATGATAACAGTAATACATTGTTGGCATCAGGTGCTCACTTGATATGCTATCCTGGGGCTTTTAACATGACTACTGGACCGTTGCACTGGGAATTATTGCAGAGGGCAAGGTATTAGTTACATTTTTCCCTAATTCATATTCTTTAGAATTTTTTTTTTTTTTTTTTACGATATGTTAAAATCAATTTGTAGTTTTTTATGTTGTCATTCTCACTGAGATTTGCCTTGCTATATCCTGTGCAGGGCTACAGATAACCAGGTGCGGTAACATATTTCCTATATGGCTATATGAGATGCACATCATGGGTTACGTTTGCTAATAAAACTTGGAGTTAGTACAATGATAGGAATTTTTGATAGATTAGATGACAAGAACCAGAGTCAAGTCACTACTTTCACTTTGTGACAATTATGCCTTGATGATCCTCCATATTAACTCTAATGACTTCTCATGGGTGATTTTCTGTGGGTTGTCAGCTGTATGTAGCAACTTGTTCTCCTGCTCGGGATGCTGGAGCCGGTTATGTGGCATGGGGCCACTCCACCCTTGTTGGACCAGTAAGTGGATATTTAAATTTAGCTTTATGATGCGTAGTTCCATTTGATCTTTGCTCGAGCCATTCACCAGAAAGTTGACGCATACTGCACATCTCCTATACTCCATTTACTTGTTTAAAGTTCCCCCCTTTCTACTTTTTAGTAATAGAACAAGTGTCTGCATCTGCATTTTCGTGCCTGTTTAAGTTTTTTGGACGGCAAGTAATTTGTAGATGAATCTTTTTTTATGAATCTGACTAAAAGAATCAAATGTGGTAGTTTGGAGAAGTACTGGCGACAACAGAACATGAAGAGGCAATAATCATAGCAGAGATTGATTATTCAATTCTTGAGCTTAGAAGGTGATGTGGTTTCCAACCTATATTCTTCTTTTTCCTGTGCACGAATGTTTATAGTTTACCGATCAAATATTTCCCGGTACTTTATTATTAAAACAGCTCTGTTTTGAATTATTCAGGACAAACCTTCCCTTACTGAAGCAAAGACGAGGCGATCTTTACCAATTGGTAGATGTTCAGAGGTTAGATTCTCAATGATTGCAAATGGGTAGAAGATCCCTCTTATGCCTCAAGGAAGGAAAGTGTCAGCGACAAATTGCGTTTCTTATTACAAATAACGAGAGCCTGTTGTTATTATCGAAAACCGGAATTATTGTGTGTATTTAGTAACAAGGGGAAGCGAACCCTTGACAACGCATGTTGTGAACTTAAACCAGACTGGAGTTTATCAAATCTCAGTTTCAGATTGGTGTGAACCAGAGTTGGAAAACTCATTAAGATGTCTGTGGGCTTGATGCTGTAGGATTGCGAAAAATCGGTTGGATTGGGCCAAGGCCGATACATTCTACATCCATTGTTGGACCGATGGATTTCTTCCAACATTGTCAAGATAAGTATCACGAGAACAAGAGCTAGTTGATACAATACGATGCAGTATGGTCCCCTCTCGCAATTATACAATAGCGTTTACGGTATAAGAAAGAATTCCATCATCCATCGCAGTCTTGTAAAAGAGATACGACAAAGCCGGCACAGAAGAATTTTCATGTCGAAGCTTTAAACTGATGTCTTCTTTGTGTCTGGTTGAAAGGCAGGGGAGTCGAGATTTTCAGCGACATGGCAAACTGAGATGTCCTGTTAGAATATTGGAAGGAGGAGGACTGTGGGGCCTCTACAAAAGTATTGGGCCCTGGAATTGCACGTGAAGACAGAGAGAACAAGAAAGCGAGAGCGACTCCTTTAATTGCTTTTGTAAGAAATATTTAGGGATGGAAAATTTTGCCATAAAAAAATTTACCGGCTGAATCATACCGGTCGGCTCATAATGGTATGGTATAATTTTGGTATTTTTTCATAATTAGTTGGTATTTTACCGAACTGACAATTAATGACATGACTTTGATAATTAATTTTGTATGTCGGTGGTATGCCATTCCTATCAATATATATATATATATATATATAATTTTTTTTTTCTATTTAGATTTTTAGGTATTTTTTAATGTTTGACTGTTGACTCCTTAGTTTTAGGGTTTAAAAAATATATGTATATGTATATGATTCATGCCATAATAAATATAGAACATATTGTTAACAAAATTGATAGCATGATGATTACTGATACTATATATACAGGTACATATATATGATTTTGAATGTATATGTGTTGCTTATGTTTGGGATGATGGAGTCTAGCCAATTAACCGCTAGTGCACAACATGGATTAACCCAAAATGAACCACACAATGCAACCAAACAAGCACCCCAATCTGAAAATCAAAATGAGCCCTTGGAATTGGAAGATAGAGAGGAAGAAGTGGAAACCACCGGTTGTGCCATTTACCAACCGAACCAGCTAATAATTGTGGCTGAACCGATTTTTGGCAACCGCAAGAAGACGGTTGGCTAGCGGTAATTGATTTTCGGTAATTATGTATATGTGGCTGGTAGGTGGCACAAGGAATTTGGCACGGTTTGCCAGCCGAACCTAGCCCTAGCAATATTTATGCTCAAAAAATGCTACGGAAACTATCTTTTTAACATTTTCAAAAACGCTTATGAGAACATTGAGAATAAATGTTTTCTAGAGAAGCAATCACAAAATGACCTAATAGGTTAGTTTGCACTATACGACCTAAAAACACTTTTAACGAACAAATTCAGTAGTGCTTTTAGTTTACAAATTACATTTTTAACTCTTACTCTTACAAAAACATTCTCTAAAAGATCCTCATATGAAACCAGATCGGGATATGGATACGTCAAGGAGGTAGTGTGATAAACCCTATAGTGTGTCGTCATATATTTTAATTTTTTCATTATCTTTGCATATATAATTGGTTTATAACACCGTTACCCTAGCGTCTCCAATTTGTCTAAGTCCTCCAAGAAAGCAGGCACGTTATACAAAGAGCAAGTGGGTGCACTCCTTCAGCCCTAGTCATCACTCATCCACTCTCTCTCCTCACCCAGACATAAATGATAAATCTGAGAGAGAATAGAGAAAGAGAGACAGAAACTTGCCTGGTCAGGAAACTCGGAGAGGAAAACAAAACAAAACCCTAGGCAGTAGCAAGGACAGTAAAATATGCTGCCCTGCATGTTTTGTTGGGAAGGGAGAGAAAACAAAGAGCAAAGTTTCTCTCTTTGTTCATTATTCACTTCCTCTTCGAGATCTCCCCTCAACTGCTGCACATCTCTTTCCCAATATCAGTGCATGTTTGGCGTGATCGGGATAAAGTCCCTTCCATTTTATCCAAATTATCAGACTAGAAAACAAAAGCATATATACTTGCCCAAAATAAGAATAAAGTCACTTCTTCATTGTTCGTAGAAGCGCTTTTCAAAGCGATAACATTGAATACAGAGAGAATCGAACTGATGACTTCTAGTGTAAATGCACTTAATTAACCGTTCGAGCTACAAACTTCTAGCATTGCCTCATCTGTCATGTTGCAAAGATATTGTGTTCATAATGTATCAAGAGTAAATTACAAATTGAACTCAACTTATGTGAGAACTTAAAACCACCCATCCGGAAAAGGCGTGGACGGAGTCAACGAATGCCCACTGGGGGGCAGATGCCCTTTGTAAAGTACTTCGTTTGTTAAGCTGTAGACCGGTATTTATATATATACACGCGTTATCTTTGAAGAAAATATATGTAGTCAATATTAAACATTCATTGATATACTTTATTCCCTATCCAATATTAGAGCAAGTTCACCCCTTAAAAAAATGCGCCAACACCTAGCCCATTTAATCCACTCAGTGAACAGTAATAGACCCCAATGAACCGTGATAGGCCAAAAGCATCTCCATCCCTAAAAAAATAGCCTAGTCAATTTTATTAAAATATTATTATTATTTATTATAAAATAATAATAAAATTTATTTTTAATTTCTGACTTTATAAAAAATATTAATAATTTCTGACAGTTTATTTTTTTTTTATATTTTTTTGGCGGAAAAATCTGGATTCAAAATTTTTTTACCGTTGGAAATCCAACGGACATAGATGAGCCACATGTCCCTATGCCGGAAACCCCATATTGTGCCTGCAAAGTGGAAAATTTTAGTGGCCTTTGATGTCAGGTTGACGCAAGCCTGACGTTAGATGGGCCGTCCCATAGCTCAGCACATTTTAGGCTAGCCTGAAGATTGGCTTGGGCTGTCAGCTGGCTTATTGGATTGGGCTAGAGTGAATCAGCTGGGTGCCGGGCCAAAAAGGGTGTTGGGAGCCTGCCTAAGCCCTCCCGCTAGACTTGCTCTTATAGAAGCAAAAGTGCTTTTGTTTTCTCATCCAAACCGAAAACCCCTCTCCCGCCTCTCATGTATTAATATTTTTCTCGTCACTTTGCCACTTTCCACTATTTTTGTAACATTAGAATTGTGATACATCATCATTTGAAATCATCACTGTTATCATATTGGATATAAGCTAGACTACGATAAAGTTTTCTTAGTTGTTTTTTAGATTGCCCCCCACTAGAAGAAATTTCTAGCTCCGTCCCTGCAAAGAGTGCTAGTTTATGGTAGACTGGCTAGGGTTATGTAACCACAACTGAACTGCAATGCGTTTCAATACAATGACATTATCCTACAATATGATTTTGTAATTTATGCAAACACAGATCAAATAAGAATTCGGCGCTTGCCAACCTAGACAAACACAAAACACTCCACTCCCTACCTTTGGATGGATGTTAGATTGAGATCATCTGACCATATCAATAAGGGCATCTCATAGATCCTACAGCGATCAGAAATGGACCCGCATTGTGACACACACACACACACATACACGCGAACACACAAACATATTGTCATAACACTGTTCATAGTACCGTACAGAAATGAGATGTAATGATCAGGTTCGTGCCCATGCTTTCTCACGTGGTTCTACGGCTCCAAAGATGCATGTTTGGGTCCCAAAACCCTATTAATGTTTACCACCAACGTGTACATTACGCTTGCAATAGCTCTAACGTCACAGCAGACAAAAGCTGGATTCAGAAGCTGGGCTACCTGCCTGTGTTCCGTAGCCCTGATATTTTTCACTACAGCTCCTAATAAACTTATCGATGTGCTAGGCTCATGCGCCCGCGCACGAGCTGATCTTGATTGTCGGTGCATGCCAAGTTCATAATGTATTAAGAACCAAATTTAGCAGATATACACATATACGACTAGTATGTTTATTTTTCATCTGAAATATAACGAAATCTTAAAATAAACATGTATTCACAATCCCACTGCTTAAACTCGTAATGTAAAACCCTAGATCGAGACTGATACCAAAGATCTAATTAGGATATTTAATTATCTTCTCCATTCCAAAGTGAACATAATGCAATCCAATTCTATTCACAAAACGTTGGACTAGGGATTTGGGTAAAATTTTTATACACGTATGGTCAGAGAGACAAGGTAAATAAGACATGCGCTTTGAGCCCCACTTTAAAATTAGGCCTCATATTTTCTTTATACTCATTATATATCTTAAAATTTATTTCTATCATTCTTTTTTTCAATAAATATCGTTTCTCTTAAAAAAAATAACAAAGCCAATGTAAGATAATTATGATGTGAGAGAATTTGAACCAAAAACCTTCATTTATATTAAAATAATAGCTGCTACAAAGTCTCCTAATCAACCTCTCCACTTGGGGACACAAGTATTGGAAATAAAATCTTATTATTATCATATCACATCAGAGCACTTAGAAGTTTCACACAACCGTAAACACATAAAAGTATAGTGCTATGCATAATCGCATATAAAATTAACAACTTAAAAAATAAAACTTCTGATCACTTATATAGTAACTCGTGGTAAACCACCCATATTACAAGCACAAATTTTTTTTTCTCCCAATCAAAGAAACTACACTAGCGTGCATGACGTATGCATGTGAAGAAACTCAAAGACAAAAGAGTGCTCCATGTGTTTATCAAAATAAGAGTCCCCCATGTTCGCACGTGTAAAAGGGCGAGAGCATATAAAATGGTCCCCACACACACCCAATGAGTAGGGTCAGGTCCACACGAGTTACGCGTGATGCTCAAATCTGACCGTCCATTATTGGCGACCGTGTAAATTTACGTCGGAAAACTGGAACGTCAGTGGCCCAACCAATGGTATCACAGTCCGTACTGCGTAGCTGTACGCTGATTTTAACTCTGCGTTTTGCTCCCCCCGTAAAGAAGGAAAAGAAACAGTAAAACAACATCAGAAGAACAAGGTGAAAACAAACATGCATACTAAAAATAGAAAATGTTTTATTGCTCTCTTTATGTTGGCAAAACGGCAAAGTTTGGACAGTATTGTGGGTAATTTTTTACTCAAATACCTAATTTAATTTAGTATCGTAACGTAAACACAGATGTGCATACGAATTACAAATTAAAATATGATAATAGAACGTTACTCTAGATATTAATGCACATAATATATGCTTCGTACCATTATTTGATGGATCGCGCCCACTAATCCACATACATGTAACGGTTGGGAATGTTAATTGATTTTAAAATTATATATTCACAATTTCAAGAAGAAACAACTTTTTTTTTAAAGGAATCAGTTGTTAGTTTCGTCATGGTAGTTCATCATTTGGGGATGGAGAACACTCACAAAGGTATTTCAGCCTCTTTTTAGCCACTATCTTGTAATTCACTAGTACTAGAAATCAAACTAAGGACATTCCGTGTGGAATACGGGCATGAAACTCATCATCGTAAATCTAACTCAAATGAGCTTATTGGGTGGGCGAGAATCAGTACATGAATTGATTCAATTGAATACAAACTTGGAAATTATGCATAACAAAGAAACAGCTTGGAAATTATGCAAAAGAATTAAAGTTGTAGGTCTCACTTTAAAGACACATTCAATCAAGTTCAGGGACGGTGCCCCGATAGACATATTTTTCCCAGCTTAATGCGTTGGTTCAAGTCGTTTGACCAAAGTTTCAAACATAGGGCCTACGTATTTAATTTCTCTAGCACAACAATTTAGTAGTATTTTCATCTACTTACAAGTAAACATTTTAAGTTTGATGTCTGTGGATGACGAGTTCAATTTATAAATTATTATAGATGGTTTATTTTGTGGTATAACCCAAATCTCTCATTCTGTCACCGTAAACGTTACTCCGATCCTCACAAAACAGATAATTTTGTTGGTTTGGGATCGCCATTTTTATATTCAAATGTGTGTGTAAATATTCTCTTCAAGATCCATGACCATCAGATCGTGAAAGTACATAAGATCATTGTCTAATTGTTGGGTGGAAGCCAGCTTACAATGTATCATATTATAAACCCTAACCCAAATGACTGGGATACTGTTTGAAACCCGATTAAGAGACCAAATCAAAGACCTTTCTGTGTCACACTAATTTATATCATACGGTTAGGGTGCATAAAGGGGTATGGATGTTGCAGGCATCATAGCATATGTCACTGGATGGATGAACATGAATAAACAAAAATGGCAAAAACATGTGATCCTGGCTAGGGTTTCGGGGGCAGATCCTTCATTTCACATGCAGTACAAGGCATTTGGTGGGGTTTGTTTATATCTGGATATGTAACTCCAAAGCCATCCTTTTCAGCTTAGTTAATGGTTTGTTTGTTTTATCAAACTAGCAAGGAAGAATATAAGTCGTATATACACTTGCATATGATAACCCAAGCTAGCTTAGTTAACAGCTTACTTCCTGGTTCATACAATGTGGACATGGTTATTTGGTATTGGTTATTGTCAATGGTTTCTGGGTAGGATTTAATCCATTAAATGCACCAATAATCAGTGATTTTTTAGTGTAACCGTCAACCTGTCATGTAACGCTTAACTCACGTTACCATACATATATGTAAAAAAAATTTAATACCATATTGTTTGCTTTCATTACGTTAATCATTAATATTATAATTTAAGCGCATAAAATATCAACAATGTCATTTATTCATCTCATTACAACATGTGAATTAGTAATACAATGATGATAATGTGACTGTCACGCTCAAAAACTTCTCTCATCATGTAGTATGCTACAATTGATAGTCTACTGTAAATCAATCTTACAAACAACAACAACCAAGCCTTATTCCACTAAGTGCGGTTGATTTTATAAATCTTAGAACACTACTGCGCTCAATTTTGCGCCAAGTCTTCTGTTAGCTACAAGTATTCCATATCTTTCTTATAGTCTCTTTTCAAATCTTCCTAGAACTTCCTCCATCTCTTTACTACAAAAATAAAAATAAAAATAAAAATAATTTGAATTTGAGTGCAAATGAGCGCAATCTACATTAGAACAAAGCATATCTTTCTCCCACAATCATCTCATCACCTGCTTGATCCCACAACTTCTAATCTCAATATACATGGTAAACTGGCAACGAGATATGAAAACATCATGAAATGGAATCAGTTTTAACTTGTAGAAAAAGTCAACCCGTTGATTTTTTTAATTAACTTCATTAAGGCTCCAGATAGCCGTTTTCATGATTAAATTAAAGCCAATTTTTACAGGCTCCTCCAATAAATCAACCGCGGTTAAAGGTTAATTTCCCACGATTACAAAGGCCTTCTCTACGCTTTTTTACCTTGTCATTTCCATTTTATTTTGGGTAATAGAGCTTAACAACTTTCAAATTCAAAATATAATCATAACATTAAGAAAGCAAAATGGGGTCCCCCAACTCTTATATGATTCATTAGTTATTTCCACCAGTATCTTTTGTTGGTAAATCAATCTGTTTCTCTTTGGTTTTCTTACTAAACTCTCTCTAATCCATTTTTTAATGCATGCAAACGTTCACGTTCACGGTTTAATAATTTAAGTAACATATTTGTTTGGTAAACAATTTAATTAATTAACCTTTTGGTTCCACCTAAATGGTGTAATACATTGGAAAGAAAAATGGTGTAATACGACTTTATGGGATTTAAAAAAATATATTATTATTAAAGGAAACGAGGAGATTCGAAACTATTACAAAAACTCATGAGAGAAAGTTTCAAACCAAGGACACATGGTATAAACTGAACATTCTGTCCACTAAGATATTAGACCCCATGCAATATGACTTTATCTTTATGGGATTTGTTTGTACCTATGTTTAGCTTAAAAAAATCCATAAAAATACGATTAAGTATATTAAAAAGAAACAAAACTACCAAAAATGAGGTACAAACAAACAAACAAATAAATAAATAAAAGGATCATATTTTGTAATTTTGTTACCTCCTTCTCATCTTATTGGTATATTACGATTGCTGCCTAAAAATTAATCAATTATGCACTCATGCCAGCTCAATGCCAAACCTAAATATATAACGCACCACCACCTTCACACCTTCCTTCTTTTTAAATAAATAATTCAAATATACCATTTTTATAAAACATTCCACGAAATACCGAATCTTGATTAATAATTATCACAACCGCTGATGAAATTAATAGTTTTGAATGGAATACGGCCTTCAGTCGGAACCTTGTTAATTTACCACCCAAAATATTGGATCATATTCATCTAGACTACCAAACATGATCACAACAATAACAATTTAAATTTTCCCTCGTGTTCAATTAAATTAGCTTATTTATATAAAGCGTTTTAACTTTTGAAAAATATTAGGCTTTAGAGATTGCAATAATCCGAACACTAATATTACGATTTAAGGATATTATTCTTCACTTATTAGTAGGAGTTTTTAAGTTTGACTTTCGTCAATATCGAATTCAATACTAATTAATTTTATTAGTACATTGTGTGATTTACCCTAAATTGCTTCCACTTAAACTTTATAACTTTGATTTTGATCTCATTATAGAGGATATAACTCCGATCTTTCTAATTTCACCTCTTCAAAAGTGTGACATGTTTTTAGAACCACCGATGGTGCGGTCCGTAGATTAGCCAAATTGGCTTTAGTTTCTAGTTTCACAAGCCATTAGTTGATGAGGCTCTAGATATTATCCAGAATGTCCTTATGAAAAATTGTAACCGTTCTCATATATGAATAAAACGTTATCGTCTCTTGAAAAAAAAAACGAATTTGAACCACATTATTGTTAGCCAATTGTGAGGCTAAGCCACCCATTTCTCTTTAGTGCAGACAATATTGTTTGTTTAAAAAGAGTACTGACAGGAAAACCAAATTTTTTTAAAACTAAATTTGCAAACTAAATAATGTGGTTATAGATGAATGGTTTATTAATTAAGTATCGATTACCGTGCTTATTCCTTATTGATAACACATCATTTGGTTTAAAAAATTTAATTTCTTTAGCATTACTCTTAAAAAAAATATAAAACTTTACCTCACTCTAAACAAAAAAAGTAAAAAAATAAAAAACTTTACCTCACAACCATGGTCTAAAATATCCATAATATTCCGATATTTCCATCGAAATGTATAAAGTGTAAAATATTGTACTAATTCATTATATATTGTACTAATTCATTATATATTTCCGATATCATCGATGTTTTTGTACTATCGATATCGATAATATCCCGATATTTTCATCGAAATTTCCGTGTTTTTGGACTACCGATATTTTCGATATCATCAATATTTTATACTTTACTCACAACAAGATGTGGGCCCGCCAATTATTACTAGGGTTACAGCAACTGTCCTGTACAAATGCTTTGTCTGTAACATAACAGGCATTGCCCTCCTCGAAACACGATCAACGGCTTCAAATTCGAATTGGAAGGTTGATCAATCAAAAGGGTCAGACCGTCATTTCCTCGTCAAAGGAAGGGGTAATTTAGGCACATCAAAAGGCATGTTTTCAAGCCACGTCATCTGATGCCAATCTGGCATTGGCTCCGATAAGGTGGACATGCACGCGCGTGTCGAGCTTTATAAACCCTACTCCCTCTCTTCCCTGTTCTTCACTCCATCTCCAAGGCGTGCCATTTCGCTCTCATTGCCCTCTCTCTCCTTTCTCTCTCTACTCTCTCTCTCTAAACAACAAGACAATCATCACTTGCTTCGTTTCTTCATGCGTCCTTCTCTTCATTCCCAAAAACTCAGAAATTCTCAAACTTTTTTAACGCCATTATCGACGATTAGGCGAGCAGAACTACACATCAAGACTGAGTTGTCGGATTACTAATTTGGTCGCTCAGCTCAAACATTGCCCGTTCTCTCTCTCTCTCTCTCTCCCTAATTTTCTCGCTCATACATTTGCCCACCCTCCAATTGCGCTACAGCTTTTGATCCTCTCTCAGCCGACACAAAAAAGTCACAAAAGCTACAGATTTCTGTAGCTAAAAACCTCAAATTATACATTTCCATTTCTCAACAAACAATAATGTCGAGGTGGGAAAATACACTGAGAGAAGACAGATACAGGCACGAAAAGAAAAACCCTTCTTTCTCATCCTCTCTCCTTGACAAAATTTACCGTTCGATCGACGAGGGTTCTCCGAGAAACCGCGAGGACTCGATGTTTTACAATGATGCAATGCCCAAGAAACAGAGCAGAAGCGGCGTGAAAAGCAGCAGAGCAGTCGAAGAAGACGAGATGGCGAGCCTCCGCCGAGCTTGTTTGATCGAGAAATGGATGGAAAAGAAGGTCAATCAGAAGGTCGGAGTACAAAGAAGACAGCATTTGGGTGAATTGGACCGAAAATTAGACCGTGATCACGACCGTGATCTTGATGCTTTGTTTTTCAGCTCCACTTCCAGCTCCTCGGATTCGAGCTCCGGCGGATTCTCCTCCTCGGACGCTGAGTCCATGTTGGGGTCTAAGTCGAGATCCTCTTGTTTTGCCCCGCCGTGGCCGAAGGCGGTTCGCACCAGCGTCTCGTCCCGGTCGGTGAAAACAGAGGAAAAAACAGAGAGGAAACAGAGGGAAGTGCACATGTTTGATGACTATCATTACAGTTGCTCCTCGGAGCCGACTCCGAAGCTCGACGAAGGCATAATTAAGTCGAAATCGAGGGCGCTGAAGATTTACAACAATCTAAGGAAGGTGAAACAGCCGCTTTCGCCGGGCGGTCGGGTTGCAAATTTCCTCAATTCAATCTTCACCGCAGGGCAGACCAAGAAAACAAAGAGCACTTCATCAATTGGAGGATACGAGGAAGCGAGTGTGGAGAGGAAACTGAAATCAGGGCAAGACTCGACGTGTTCTTCGGCCTCTTCATTTTCAAGATCATGTTTGAGTAAGAACTCTCCATCTACTCGAGAAAAACTGCGAAACGGGGTTAAAAGATCGGTTCATTTCTATCCGGTGAGTGTGATCGTGGACGAAGATTGCAGGCCATGTGGGCAGAAATGCTTGTACGAAGGGGAGGATCAAACCCTAATGCCGGTCACTGTTCCGACCGCATGGAAAATTGGTCGATCTCCGGGGAGAAAAGCGGAGGAGGAGCTTAAGCTTCAAGCGTTGGAGAAAAGCAGAAGAGTTAAGGAAGCGGGCAGAGAGGTTTTGAGAGATAGCCATCGGAACCAAGTTACGAGTGAATTAGTGAACAGAGATTATCGTGACCGCCATGATGGTGATGACGATGATGCTGCTAGTTGTTCGAGTTCGGATCTTTTCGAGCTTGATCACCTTGCAGTGATCGGAAAAGAAAGATATCTGGAAGAGCTTCCGGTGTACGAAACCACTCACGTTCGTACAAATCGCGCCATTGCTAATGGCTTAATAATGTAGTTAACAATGTAGTTTTTTTTTCATTTTTTTTTTCACTCTTCTAAGTTTGATTACAGCATATACAAGTATAGAACTAGATTTGTTCTTGATTAGTTTTCTCTCTTTGTTTTACTAATTAATGGAATTGGTTTTACGAGGGGATACAAAATGTGGCTCTTCATAAAACAGGACCAGATAATATTCTAAACTACTCTAATTTATAATTTATGAAGTAGATAATCGACCTTAGATAAAAAGGGCCGACACACTGTATTTGCTAACTGATGTAACCCCCATCTAAGTTATAAATTCTATTCGACATGGTAGATTTTGATGGGTGGTGCACAATATTGCAGCTAATTTGTTTTTGTGTTGGGAAAAAGAAAGCTTGAAACTTGAATGATTAATAAGGTGGCAATCTGGGGATGTAAAAAAGGGAAAAAGTGAGGGAACATAAGAGTTTGATTTTCTGAAAAGAAAGAGAGAAGGGGAATGGGGATGCGTTACATTCTGGATCATGATCAAACACTCAGATGGATACTGACAGAGTGCAGTGCTTGATGGGAACGGGAAAAAGGGTAGGGGAAGAAAGAAAAAGAGCAAGAGAAAAAATGAAAGATTCGATGATGCTGATCACAAGCAAGCAACCAAAGCAAGAAACTGAGAAATGATATGAGATGACAAGTTTCGTTTTCTTGGTAACTTGGTGATCAATGATACATAGTTATCAACTGTTAGATTTGACATTCGAGATAAAAAAATTTGAATCATATGCATATATTCTCCACATTTGATATTAAATCTAACAGGGAGTGACCATGCATTCTTTGATCGTAATATTATGAAATGAAATGAAATTTATGAAAGAAAGATGGGGTGTGATGGCAAAGGCAAAGGCAGATCTTCGCCCATGGGAATAGAGAAAGTGAAGTCCTAAAGCATTTGCTTTTGCTTCTTCTTTCTTTCTCTGGAATTGTATTTTTGTAAATGTATTTTGGATTTTTGGGAATTTGGCACCCTTGTCAGTTAAACGTTGCGTTGGCATCCCCATCTCATCATCCCAAGAAAACATAAAGACACTCGTACTGAACCCTACTTGGGTCTTTGGGTTCATGGATTCTCCATCCCCTTCAAATTTCCAACTGTGCTTTTTCCCTTTCTTACAATTTTATCTTTCCAAGTGCTTGCAAATTACAAATCATACTTTGGTTTCGTGGCACCTAGTTTTCACTTTTTATTGAAGATTATGAATTATCAATGATAGAGAAGTTGACGACAATCGAACACACGATCTTAAGTATGACAGCACCTCTAAGGAAATGCAGATAATACTAATGCACATGATTCCTAACCACTTACATTTCAAATACTTGTAAATGCTTTTAACTAACCAACACATGCTCTTCTATTTGTCGTACATAATTTGGGTATTTCTTCCCAAAATGAACCGAGGAGCAGATAAGAGATTGGGGGTGGGCAGTTGGTATCTGCGTACTGATTTTTCTAATATGATTGAGAGGAATTAATGTCACACATACGTGACCTTGTGGGTACGTGCTACATTCATACGCATATTCCTTGCATGTGCAGCTGCCAACCATCGATACTTATATCTAATAATAATCTTTTTTATTGCGAAGAACTGTGAAGATTTTTTAGTGTGTTAGGAAAACGGTCTGGTATATTAAGTGTAATAATATCATTGGTTAGAAACTTGAAAAAAAAATTCAACTAATTGCGTTATAACACTTAGTATACCGAGCCGTGTACTCAGCACACTGAAAAATTTCTCGAAGAAGTGCCAATGCATGTAGTACATTTGTATTATTATATCAAGTACTCCGGAAATAAGGGGACACGAGGACAAGTTGTAGAGCTGATGATTTGCTGTAGCGACTAAGAAACCGATTGAACACGATTAAATTCAAAGATGCCTTGATTCTTGTAATCAACATTGGAATTAAAGAAAACCCTAGAGAGAGTTGGAGGGTTCATTGTTAATTAGTAGACCTAATAATGGCCTGTTAATATATAAGATTAGTAGTACGTGATGAGCATGCAGATGCAACTTCGCGCCGTCTCAAATTCTTAATGCGAAGAATTGTGACTTGAGAAGGAATCTCTCTCTCTCTCTCTCTCTCTCTCTCTCTCTCTCTCTAAGTCAAAATCAGCTTCATCGTACGATTAACTAACTAAAAACAAGATTAAGAAACAAAACTCTATTCATTGAAGTTTTCTTTATCTAGTTAATATATTTTTTCTAAAAATATCCTTTTAAATTAAAGACTGTTTAATTATTCATATGAATTAAAGGAATCAACGGTTCATCACTTGTTATCATAACTATTTTGTTTGACACTGTTTGGGCCCAAAATGTTATTTTGGGCTGAGCTCAAATATTATCGACCCAATGGTGTTTATTTAGAATCTTGTCATGGGCCTGCCCTATTAAGGTTGGCCGAATCTTGCTACGAAGATGATTGTTTCGGATAAAGGTGGAGTAGTCAAATCCTGGTATATTAAGGAGTCTTAAAGCTAAAGTACTTGGGATTAGGAGATGAACCTGGTTTGTTTGAAGGTTTGGTTCAGAGTCCAATGAAGATTAGGATTGGTTGAAGTTTAATCAGATTAGTTTGAGGAGTTCCAATCCTAATATGTTTCTAGTTCGGCCATAGGGGTTCTCGGTGCTATAAATAGAGGAGGGAGTGCATCTTTCAGTTCCCTCCAATTCAACACACAAACTGTCATGCGCAAACTCTCGCTCTACTCGAAACCTCTCAACAACCTTGAGATTTTTATTTTCTTTTTCTCGCCGACACATTTTCAGTTTGGATAAACAGCATTGTGAAGGCAACCAGTGACATCTTCAGTTTGGATAAATAGCACTAGATCCGTAGAATCAGTCGATCAAGGAGCACTTTCAGTTTGGATAAACAACACTGCTTCTCGGCCTACTGAGAAGTGAGGTGTTACAGATTACTGGGCTCGGTGCATTGAACGCCGAGTTGTTTTATGATTGGATATTCACAAGTAAGTTTTAGAGTTCGACATTCTGACGGCCAAATCACATTCACCATCAAGACATACATCTCTTTTAAGTACTTGTGTCCGTATAATTTGGTGCCAGTTCGGCGTGCTTATACTCTTACGAATATAATCATTGTGACTGAACCTGGTGCCGACGATCCGTGAACTTTGCAAGACTATCAGCCTTGTCTTCAGGCTTTAGAATCCTGAAGGTCGAGACGTGTTTCTTCCTCGGCCGCAGTCGCAAGATTGAGAAGTCAGCAACGCGCTCAACGCAACATCAACACATTTAACTCCCCGGCTGAGCTCAGCCGACAAGTTAGCATACCCTGCACATAACTGAAGGACGTAATTAGCTTATTAAGTACTTGGCCTGCACGCCACGTAAGCTTGGTAGTTTTTAGGGTCAACAGACACATATGAATGTCTACACGGTTTCTAATTTTGAATATAATAATTAAGTAATGGTAAAGAGATTGAACGATGTGATTATTCTTATTGTGGAAATAATGTCACATTAGTAGGGAATGAAGACTTTCCTCCTTTTCAGAAATAAGGGAGGTATTGTCCTCCATGGAATCCTACCACACAACTAATTATGCTTTCTCAATTAGATACAAAACTATAGGGTTCCAAGGGTTGAAATTTATCAGTAAATTAACAAGATTAAGCAAGTTGATTAACAATGTTGATGAATGAATTCAATATTGTTTATTTTAGGGTAATTTAGTAGGTGAAAAAGGGGGGGGGGGAAGTTGCCAGCAATAATTAGAAGAATAATGTGTGTGGTTGGATGAGAAGGAGAATTGATACAATTGATAAACAAACCACCTAACTGCTTATAGTCGTTTACCACTTTTTGACCATCCTAAGTTTCTAGCTTCTAGGTTTACAAATCCCTGATCATGTTCATGCTCCTAACCAATTGCTAACTCAGTATGATCTCTTTAACGAAGTAAACATGTGGGCATCGCTAGACCGAAATTTATGGTGTGCAATATGAACAATGTTTAATAATCGTCAACTATCGTCTCTTAGGTTTGAACTCACGATTTTTTCAAAGTACAGATTGAGTAGTGTTATTAAGTCAAATGATGATGTTCAAATAGAATATTAATGCAAGTAATTATGTGATCCTTTTCTTTAGATTTTAATATGCTCCTTTATTGTTCACCAAGAAAAATCACTATCGGTAGCATTGTTAAATTCAGAAACTGTGCATCCTGAACTTTTTTGCTGTTTTCTGGATATTTTTGTGGCATATCTTAAGTTGAAGTTGAAGTTCATAAGTCAAATCAAGCCTGCAAAACTCTACCCTATAAATATAATTAGCTATTCAACATCCTCAAGTTAATTCGTCAATAGTGGGAAAAAGAAAAAGGAATCTAATTCTGGCCACCTTCCATTTACAATCCTCCAGCCCTAAGAAAGTTCATCAAGTAACTCTTAGCTATGGGGCCTCGACATTTCAGTGATATAAACTAGTCGCTACCTGCAACCAAAGGACTTTTCGGCCTGCAATCAATAACGAATTCAACAAACTCTTGACGAAATTCAATATACATACATACATACATACATACATACATGCATACATATATATATATATATATATATATATAATATATAGATTACCAAATACTGCAAATTATAATATTCTTTCTGTTAGGGAAGCAACAATATAATATGTAACAAAGAAACAAAAGCCACCCACCAGAATGTATGAGAGAACTAAATTCTTAAGATTATCTGCATACAAAACATTATACACATTTACACATGAATCCTTTCTTAACAGCTACCATGTTTTATGATATCAAAAGGAAAAGATAAACAAATGCAGTGAAATATATAAGATTTCGTATATCATAAGTACATTATTACTACTAGTGTTCTATCCCTACCTGTGTATTTTAATTTCTAACCGAAATGCATGATTTGTTTATCAACTGTGAAATGTATTGAACAAAACCAAGTGGAGGTGGGGAAAAGGG